CCCTAATATAATATAATATAATAATTATTTTGCCAGTTCAGGAGAAAGGCGATAAAACTGATGGTAGTAATTATCGGGGGATGTCACTGCTATCAACTTCATACAAAAATGTATCCAATATTTTCCCCTTAAGGTTAAGTCCACACATAGATGAAATTATTGGGGATCATCAGTGTGGGTTGCGACGTAAGAGATCAGCTATTGATCAGATCTTTTGCATTCGTCAGATACTAGAGAAAAAAAATGGGAGTACAATGAGACAGTACATCAGCTACTCGTAGACTTCAAGAAAGTCTATGATTCTGTGAGGAGGGAAGTATTGCACCATATTCTGATAGAGTTTGGGGTACCCATAAACTACTTATAGGCTGATGAAAATGTATTTAAACGAGTCGAAAGATACAGTCCTTATAGGTAAACATTTGTCTGATAAATTTCCTATCCAGAATGGTCTAAAACAAGGAGATGCTTTATCGCCACTGCTTTTCAACTTTGCTTTAGAATATGCCACTAGGAAGGTCCAGGGAAACCAGGTGGGACTGAAATTAAACATGATACATCCGCTGTTGTGAATCTATCTGTGATAATACAGATACCATAAAGAGAAACACACAAACTTTAATTGAGGCTAGTAAGAAGTATGGTCTAGAAGTAAACACAGAGAAAATTAAGTACACGTATATGTTGCTGTCTCATTGCCAAATGCAGGGAAAAATCATGACATAACGATAGGAAACAGATTATCTGTATTATTATTATTTAGAAGTGAACACAGAGAAAACTAAGTCGACTGTCTCGTCACCAAAATGCAGGGCAAAATCATGTAATGAAGATAGGAAACAGGTGTTTTAAAAATGTGACACAGTTCAGATATTTGGGAATAACGATAACAGATCGAAACCTGATTCAGGAGGAAATTAAGAGGAGATTGAACTCGGGTAATGCTTGCTACCATTCAGTCCTGAACCTTTTGTCTTCTCTTCTGCTGTCTAAAAACATAAAAATTAGAATATACAAAACTATAATTTTGCCTCTGGTTCTGTATGGGTGTGAAACTTGGTCTCTGACATTAAGGGAGGAACATAGAATCAGGGTGTTGAGGAGAATATTTGAACCGAAGAGAGATGAAGTGACAGGAGGTTGGAGAAAACTGCATAATGAGGAGCTTCATAACTTGTGCTCTTCTCCAAGTATAATTAGAATGATCAAGTCAAGGAGGATGAAGTGGGCAGGTCATGTAGCGTGAATCGGGGAGAAGAGGAATGCATATAGGTTACTGGTGGGAAAGTCTGATGGAAATAGATCACTGGGAAGACCAAGGTGTAGGTGGGTGAACAATATTAAAATGGATCTTAGAGAGATAGGATAGGATGGAATGGTATGGATTGGATTCATCTGGCTCAGGATAGGATCAGTGGAGTGCTCTTGTGAACACGGTAATGAACCTTCGGGTTCGATGAACTTAAAAAGGTTGGAGTGAAAACTGTCATGGTGTATTACAAGGCGTAATCACGGCGTTTGTCTGTACGGGCTGAGAAAATTCGCCTGGAATCATTTATGAAATGGATATGTACAGTGCGTACAATCAAGTGCGCGCCGCGGCTGCAATTTGCCGTGAGTCAAACTCCTCCCCGCGACTGCATCCGTTCTGCGGTGGTATGACTCACGGCAAATTGCAGCCGCGGCGCGCACTTGATTGTACGCACTGTATATACACATATATAAAGAATTCTGCACTACCGTAATGCTAAATGATAACTAACGATTCGCGTTGAGAAATATATTTGTTATGAAAATCTCGATGTCATGAATAATGAAGCTATACGTCCGTCCCCCCCAAATACGTCTTCATGGCGTGGTGCTTAATTATATGTAGGGACAACATTACCCCTTTTTTACCACACGGGCCTAACCGTACTAAAATCTAGAGCGCAGAGTAGACCTAACTGGAACCCAAAAGAAATTGTCTTGCGCTCACTTCCGTGCGCTACAAGCACATGAAGCCCCCGCGTAATATAAGCTTGGTTGGTATCCACACGTTAGGGCTGAGATCAACTGCGTTCTGGCTTGAAGACGGAGCAAGCTTAGAACCATCCTTATAGCAAGACAGAAAGTTTTTGATCCAAGCTGCCTCATAAAACTGTGTTTACTTTTCATCAGCCTGCAAGTCTTTCGAGAGATTTAAATATGACTTGAAGTAGTGCGTCCTAAATATCAGAAGGGGGTGTAAGAGCGCTCAGACGGCAATAAGAATATGCACATTCTTCAGAAATATCAGTTCTTTAAAGGTGGTATAGATTACAAACTCTCTGGAAATGACTTGGTAATACCACGTGACGCAAATTGGAGAACAACGAAAACAAAATTACAATGTACCACTAAACCTACTGCAGTAGTTGCAGTCTTCACTAAGCGGGTAATGTTGGGGGACGCAAAGATTTCATTACCCGAAGCAAAGACAATATAACTTTGAAAATCCCCGGCATTGCTTATCTGCTGGTTTGTTTATTTAACGACACTGTCAGCATCTCAGACTCTGCTCCGTCAAGTGATAGATTGAGCAACGAATGAAGAATTAATGCAGTAGTGGCTGAATTTGCGAATTATCGAGGGGTTTGCCTGGATGAACTAAGAAAAACACGAAAAAATGAAATCAGGATAGCTGTCTCCGGGCCGAAATGTTAACCCCCGACCTCCCGAACACGGAGCAGGATTTCCAGTCTGCTACTCTAAAGACAACTCAGTTGCCGTGATTATTCACGGTTCTTAACAAGCTTATCGATTCGGATCGAGGAAAATTAATCTTAGAACTAACCTAAGCTTCTGTTTAATATACTTTTTTATTTTATGACAGAAGTAGTCTTATGTTATTATCATGACGTGTCTGTTTCCTTTTAAAAAGTTTTAACTAACCGATACTTAATGGACTGGAAACAGATACATCGCTACCAGAAGCCTCCTCAGCACAGAGCTTTATATTTTTTGCCATTAATATTATCAATAGGTCTCTCTTGTAAACTTGTAAGGTAAAGCGATACTAGAGCCATTATTAGCACGCTTGCTTGAGATCCAGAAATTGTACACGATAAGAGAACTTCGAAGTATATGAAAATACAACAATAATGTGACTAATGTCAATGTTAGGAATGTTTGATTTTTGTACCAGTCCAAAGCTTATGTGTAATTTGAAGACATTACGAAGTTTTAGAAAACTTATCTCACACTCTTCAGGAAGTGTACGCAAATCCATAGGAAAGAATGAAACTAGTTAAGTTAAAAAAATATGTAGAGGTCACATAGATTCCGACTGAATCATCATCTTGGTTTCTGCCTTCTAGCGACCACAATGTGAAAGGGGCTTTCCCAGGCTCATCTGCCTTCCTTCAGCGAAGTAACTACCTAACACCTAAGGTCTGATAGATCGAAGCGTCATGCTTCCTTTCACAAGTTCTTTCTTATTCTGGAAGTCATTCCCTTACGCAAGTTCCGGTGGCTTCGACTCACAACATTGTTAACGATTACATTGATTTTAGATAATGCCACTGGTACAATGAGTGTTTTAAACACGGTAATTACTAATTCTTACCTTATTTAATGTCGTTGTTCAGCTGCGGAGGTCATATAGATAGCATCGAAAGAGATGGAGTGATGGGCATGAACAGTGATTGCTTTAGGATTTGGAAGAAGGCTGTCATAGTATATTTTAAGATAATGTCACTACAGCCTACTGGGGAGACAAGTGCAAACCATAATGAACCTTGTTAGGTTAGCCAGCAACACGGCTAAGATGACTACCAGATACACCCAGAATACACGTGTAGAATGGTACCTACTAGGTGACAAGCTAAACCTGAGGTGCAAACCCTATTGAACTTGGTTCAAACTTCTGAGCAATCACGAAGATAATTTATTTTGTCGACACTTACAATAGCTCAGATTATAAGGACGCGGAAAGAAGCGGTAGTGACCTAATTGGAGGTAATGCCCCAGAATTTGATTGGTTGGAGTGGGAAAAACAAGGAAAACCCTCAGTCCAATAGCTGGTCTTGGGCCATGATAAAATTCCCGAATTCGAAGTAGACGTGTCAAACATTCGATACAATAATAATTCGAGACAATCAACCACCTGTGATGGTAATGGTAAGAAACTTTGGAAAGAACAGTCGTATGTTTTATAAAAGAAAGCGCCACGAAGGTGTTCCTCTAATCGGAGAAGAGAGGACTGGGCTGACATGTGAGGTGGTCATGGAGCATGCTTATCAAAACGGATCAGTCCAGTTCACTTCATGTGAATGTTAAGTGCAACACCCTAGCGTTAAGAATGGAATGTCAGGCCACATTATCTTGAGGAAAGTTTCTTTAATCATTGAGATAAGTATCAAATTGATTTCCATCTAATTATTTTGGTCACTTCAGACGGCAGCAGAGATGGACGTGATCAAAAGTGTGCACGGGTGGTCTCAGGTCGCTTATGATATGGAAGAAAGGAAATTGTATCTTGTGTATGGGCGTTGTTTCTCTAACACATCTCTAACAGAAATAGGTCTATGTTTTCCCAAGGAACACACCCACGTGGCACAAGAACATAACAATATTAGATAGAACACTGTAGCCAGTTCAATTAATTGCACGTTTTATATGGGAATGCGCTGACGCAACGCAATTCCAAATAAAAATAGATCACATATTTTTATCATTCCTACTCCTACAGCATCTCACTGTTCTTTCTTAAGTCTGCAGCGCTGTTAGCCTTGAAACGTCACGCTGTAGTAACACATTTTAAATAAACAAAAGATGTAATTTACGATAACCGTCAACGCACACATTCGGTTTTTATTGTTCCCTATGAATGAAAGAATTATCGTGTGTATAGTGGATGATTCATGTTCCTCACTCCTCCCCTGCAAGAACCAAGAAGCACCCGTCCTTCTGCCCAGCTGTTACGATATAAACACGTCGGCGCATTTGAAACCTCGCCACAGAAGGGGGTTTTACTCATGTTGCAGAGGCCGATTCCTCCTCGTGCTCCGAGTTTCAAGTAATTACAAGTGTGTGAACTACGCATGCGAGGTGGTTTTAATTACGACAATACTCAGCAAATTACAGACCATGAATATATACGAACAGTTTTACTGAGTTAAAAACTAATGGTTTATGTGATTCTGGTTAGAATAATAAGTAATTATACACAATTTCTGTACAAACTTTGTAGATAAAATTACTTTCGTCTGGATATAATTGTCCATTAACAGATAAAAGGGAATGAAGGGCACTTCTGTTTCCCAGGCTGCGTTTAATAGTTGAAGAGTTAAATCAGTTCTATAAAGGGGAATCACGCAGTTGAGTGACTGTAAGCCACTAGGGAGCCTTTCGTGAACTCTTCAACTCGTATCTGCACGCTGGAGTGGATCCAGAAGACAATCGCTACGATGCTGAACATTCGAAGCGTACTATTTCTCTGTTTTTTCCTGCTGAAGCAAGCGTCATGTGTGCCCATTCCCACGAGCCCAGGGATTCCTCCTGCATCAGCGGTACGTACACATGTTTTATCTGACTAGTGGATGGCATAACTACGTGGCTGATTGGTGGATTATCAACTACTGAGGTTATTTATCCTCTACGAGTGAAAACAGATAAATTTAATGAAGAGATCTATGTTCTGGGATATAATGCCGCGTAGCAGCTGAAAGTCAACAGAAGTTTCGGAAGAACATATAGTTTCCATCTTCAGGGTCTAAGAGTAAGCCGAGCAAGAAACCAGCGTGAAAGCAGGTGGAATGTTCCCCTAAAACGTCGGTTGACTTTCAACGGACTACACAGTCTTGCATTCCAGAGGACAGAATTCTTCATAACCACCGATGTGAGAGCGAGGGAATGATAGCATTCCGAGACACAGACTGGCTGAATCGTGACTTTAGCTTCGCTGTTTATGACGACTACTTGTTTGCCATGAAACCAACAGCATGGCCAAATATCATCAGACATCAGATATATGCCATTCGGTTGTCTTTGCAAGTTCCATTCGGACTTAGACTATAATTTCTTTACGCCTGCATTTCAGACTTTAGGAACCTCCTTATGCACTCAGCCCAAATATGACTGTAAATATTATTAATTTTAGATCTATAGTTTATTTTCCGTTTCGTTTGTATCGAATTTGTAATCTTGATGTCTTCGTCATCGCTTGCTGTAATTACATTATGCAAACTTGTGTAATAACATCAAATAATTCGGCCAAGCAGTTATGACTTTTTAAAATAAAATGAGCAAAAAAATCCGTCTATTGATAACGACCACTTCTCTGGTCTAGTGGTCAGAGTTCCTGGCTACAGATCCAGAGGTCCCGGGTTCGATTCCCGGCGCTAGTAGTAGTAGTAGTAGTAGTAGTAGTAGTAGTAGTAGTAGTAGTAGTAGTAGTAGTAGTAGGCCTAGAATGGGGTCCATTCAGTCTCCTGAGGGTAACTGAGGAGGTACTTCAATGGAAAAGTAGCGGATTCGGTCTATAAAACTGAAAATAACGGCCGTGGGGGATTCGTTGCGCTGACCACGCAACACCCTCTATCCGCTAAAGTTGGCACTAACTTCTCCGACAAGCGGCGGTCGCTCGGTCGGTATAATTCGCTTGCGAACTAAAGCCAAGGAGTGCGCTTTGTTTGTTTGTCTATTGATAAAAGCCTCGTGAGTGCTTCTGGCGTTTTACAGTCAGTGTTAGGCGGGATAAGGATTTGTGTGGGTGTGAGCTGTGACCGTGTACACGGCCCAGACTCTTTGATCTGCACCGGGTCCCCAGAAACTTCGCTAAACTAACGAGTTCGAATCATGCAACTGCGATAAGTAACAAACCAAAACCCCGGACGAAGCCTAAGTATATGGGGAGAGCTAGGTTCATTCCTACCGCACACTGACTATAGGGTGTATGCGCTAAATATGACACACTGTTTACTGAGTGAGGATGCCGTATCTGCTCCGAAGTCCGTCTCTGACCTCATGTCGGAAGAATTCAGAGTGGACGGATCTTAATGAGAATTTATGCGATACAAATATAAAATGGACATGTATTATCATCTAGTATATTATTTTAAAAATGCACAACTTTATGGAAGATGACTGTGCTACAAATATTGTGTTTCTTGAAAAAAAACAAGAGAGATGGAAACTTCCTGTGTATGTGTCGGTTTAATTACGCTCCTTCCTCACAAGCTCACACATTTACAATTACCGTAAGTTAACACATTTTATTAAGTAGTTAATGTAAGGTAAGTAGCGAATTAGTCGCAAACAGAGCCTCAGCTGTCTACTGCTATATTCAGATGTAACCGTCCCACTGCTAGGCAACGTATTTGAATGTAATCAACTTTATTAATTTGAAAGCTTAATTGTTCAAAATGAAATGCAATGAACAAGTGTAGTGAGACATAGGTCAATTCTTGTATGTAAGAGTAAGCGTCTTCCCACGCTTACAACAGAAACAGGAAGACAACCATCAAAGGTTTATTAGAGGAAAGTTACGTTAAAAAATAGCTAAATAATTCTTTGTGCATTCAATACTTGGCAGTTTGTGCATGCCATAACTTAAAAAGAGTGAAGTTTTTAGGATCCAAGCGACGGTTACGCATTTGTCAAATTCTGACAGAAATACGTTGGAGTCAGAAATCCTTAAACCCTTGTAAGCTTTAAACGGAGTGGAGGAATATCTATTAAGATACTCCTATTTTTCAAATATAACCAATCACTAAAATTTAAGGGTGTGACAGAGCAGAGACGCTGAGGAAACAAGGACTTGAAGGTCCGAGGAGAAATCAGTTGTCGAAGTCAGTCAGACACCGGGACTCGTTAGGACTAGACGTAAAAGTTGTCGAGAGAGTCACACCTCGGCCCTTGAAGAAATCAGACGTCAAAGTTATACACAGGATCTCGTAGAAACAAGACATAAAAATTACTGATTTGAAGTTGTATTAAGAAGTGGCTCAACAAGTGTTTAATATATAATTCGTCTAAACTTGATATGTGTTTGTAGTGTGTGTTTTATCTGCGTGCTTTGAGTGTGGCAAAATAAAAAAGTTTTTTTTCTGCTTCTTTGAGTGTGGCCCGTTCAAGACTCTGAGGTAAAGAGACCCTCAGCTGTACCGAATTAACAAACTTCACCTCCTTATAAATTAAATAACCCTGAGATAAAATTTAGTACAAGAAAGAAGTATCTACAAGTGCGACCAACGTGTGTGGGAGAGAGAAGGTGAGAGAAGGACTGTTAAAAAGGTGACTTCAAGAAGAAGAAGAAGAGAAGGAGATAAGGGACGGTGAAACAGATAATCTTAAATTTATTTCAGATGATAAGTTTATGATTAACGGGAAAAGTACTCAAGCACGATTAACCCGTTAATTAAAAATAGACTATACAATCGTCATTTTAAAGGAGAACACATTACAAATAAAAATATTTTTACCCTTGCTCGAGATTCTCACAATCTCCGCGGATAAATTTTACGGTAATATCTAAAAATAGATCATAATCACTCCAGTCTGATATTTCTCTTAAACGTGAGCCTGGATATCTCTGTCATTAGAATAGACGGCTACAGTCTGGATTTCCGGAGCTCGATTCCCGTCAGAGAACATTCTCATCGACACTAGACTCACACGTGCTCCTATTCTGTGGAGCACTATCTCTCGCTTCTACGAGTATCTAGTTCCAGTGTTTAGTAGGCCTATGTGTGCAGTGTTATCGCCAATGCCCCCCCCCCATTTGCCTTGATGACATTGCGTTTGGCCACAGGCATAACAATGCCGTTACTTTTATAATTACAATTATGTCACATTTCATACTTTTCGTAGCATAGGTATCAGCCAAGAAAAATGCAAAAGAGTCAAGAGTTCTCTCTATATCCAGACATTATTAAACTAACTGTGATGATGGTTGGAGTATATATATTTTATTTAAAGCGACAGGATAATGAAAACGTGAAACAAACAGAAATTGTAACAGATGAGAGATCACATACATTAGCCATGGAAGAAATGGACATTGCTCTATAAGAAAGTAAACAAACTGATGACAACTCCACAGAAAATTCAATGTCCCAGCGAATCCTCTTGTTTTGTGCTAGTACGTATGTACAAAACAAGAGGCCGAAAACGAAGTGACTAAACGCATGCAGTAACAGAGCAAAACACAAGACAGAACACGATACACAAATGTATGTAGGAAGAATGCTCACATAAAAGAGGATTGGCGTAATTCGCGTGTTTGAGTGCTACGTAGGAAGAATCCTGAAAAGTTTTATTATTTAGAATTCATCGTCCTATATGACGAACACAGATTTTAGTAATTTTAGAATGAAGACATTGTGGCATGCAGTACAATAGACACCTGAAGATGGCACATTAGTGCCGAAACATGTAGTGTGGAAGTGAAGAATAAGGTGAAAAAGTGTATACACTGTAAGACGGTCAGCATCAACCATGGAATAAATCTCGCTTGAGGAGAGGAAGAACAGTCTCATTGCTAATTTTAGAGTCACTTTTCATTGTCAGCTTAGAAGAATTCTTGATGTTGAACTGCAAGGAACTTGATATATCTAATTTGGAGTGACAGGAGATGAAATATCAAAAGAAGTACATTAAATGACAGCCTACTTCCTGTATTTCAGAGGAATATCTGGCTTGTATTGCCGGTCACTGTAGCCCAGCGGTCTAAGGCATGTACTGTCTTCGCTCGCTTTGAAACCGGGATTGTGGGTTCGAATCCCACTCAGGGCATGGATGTTTAGTTTGTGTGTGCGTTTTTCTGTGTTTGTGTACAGGTAGAGGCCTTGCGACGAGCTGATCAACAGACCAAGGAGTCCTACCGAATGTGTAAGATATAGAAAAACCGAAGTGAACGGAGAAGTTCATGGAGGTAGGCCTAGGCCCACTGGGGCTGTAGTGCCAAGGGAAAAAAAATCTGGCTTGTATTAATGTTTGTGCATGTGCTTATGTCTGTGTGCGCGTCTGTCAGCGATCAGTAACTTCTGAATTTGGGTGATCTTCATGAAAGTCCGTATGGAAGTTATACCCTTATGTTTAGCACGCTCTGGCATGAAAAGCATAGGGGCGTGGAGGTAAAAGTTTGATATTTTTAATTCCCAGTTGTCGTACCGGACGTGGAAAGTTTTGCAATTGGATTGATACATGCAAGGTGTTTACCTCCTTTCGTTTCACGACGATAAATAATGAACCTTTTTTTTTTTAATTCGCTTACTGGGGGATGAAGTCCAGCTGGGTCCACTCGGCACGGCGGCCACTGATTGGCCTATTGTACTTGCCCCGGGTGATTATGATGATGGAGAATTTGGTGGAATGAAGATTGGCAGGGGAAACTGAAGTACTCGGAGAAAACCCGCCCCAGCGCCATTTTGTCCACCACAAATCCCGCTTGACCAGACCCGGGATCGAACCCGGGCCGCCGCGGTAATGAACCCTTACATTTAATCAAGTGAAATTTGGTACAGTCATAGGTTACACATACCTTAAAATTTTGTTCCAATCTTCAGCATGTCGGCAATTATATGGTACCGACACCGCAACCATTTGAAAGGAGTTTTCACAATTTTCGGATATTTAAGTCTACACTTGCGGACATATTTGCAAGACAATACATCATGATGTTATATAAGTATCATTTTCCAAAAAGAATCTGATTTGGCACAGAAACGTCTGAAAACCAGTCCGTTTAAGTGTGTTTTATCTGTCGAGCTAGAGCTGATGTGGCATTTCGAAGAGCTTCAGAAGTTAACATTCGATTACAGAATTATCCCCACAAAGAAAAGGTGCTAAGATGAGGCATTTAGGTCATGGATGTGAATCATCCCGGGTTCTCATGCTACTACTCTCAGTATTCATTCCGTATGAATCTGGATGAATCCCAAAGCCATTCTTAATTTCGTAATGAATCTTTCATAAAGAAGTCAGAGAAGAGCACAATAAATTCGTAAAATCACTTTCTGTAACCTCTCGTGAAATGAATCGCTACAAAACTAGTTCTGAATGCTGTGGATTACATTGGAACTTATTATTGAGCCGCATTTTGCGCATATGAGTACCAGTATCCGTAGGCTGTAAGCCCATTACAAGCCAATACGCTGAACTTCCTTCCTTCATATAAAGTTCAATACTTTCTTTGTTTACAGCTAAGATTCATGCGACAGTTTGGTTACCTGGAAGAGGGTACGCCTGATTCTGAAGCCCTCTACAGTGAAGAAGCTATTGTAGAAGCCATAAAAACCGTTCAAAAATTCGGTGATATTCCACAAACAGGAAAGCTGGACAATGCAACTCTTCAGGTAAGACTTATGTGTAGCCTAATTCACTAAGTAAATTCTTATACAGGATTTTATACTGATTCACAACGATAAAATCGGTATGCAGTGAATTTATTCCCATTGCGATATTCTCTTTCTGTCTTTCGTTTCCAAGAGCGAGTTTTTGCTATGGGGCTGTCGACCTATCTGCGTTTATTCGTTACATAATTTTCCCACACCCAGTCCAACTGTAAAATTCTTTTGTGAGCGGCAATAACAAGTAAAACTACCTTCAATCCTCTTCACAATCGGCAGCAAACACCACCAAGAGGTATAAAGATTTCTAGAATAAAAAATATATTAAATTTGTTACGTTTAGCTTAATTCACGAGCCACTGGAACCCTTTTAGGGCCAAACATGATCTGTTTGCAACGTCTGCTTTCTCTCAGTGTGTGCTCAAAATCCCGTTCCAATTATTGTTATTATTATTATTTAGAAGTGAACACAGAGAAAACTAAGTCGACTGTCTCGTCACCAAAATGCAGGGCAAAATCATGTAATGAAGATAGGAAACAGATGTTTTAAAAATGTGACACAGTTCAGATATTTGGGAACAACGATAACAGATCGAAACCTGATTCAGGAGGAAATTAAGAGGAGATTGAACTCGGGTAATGCTTGCTACCATTCAGTCCAGAACCTTTTGTCTTCTCTTCTGCTGTCTAAAAACATAAAAATTAGAATATACAAAACTATAATTTTGCCTCTGGTTCTGTATGGGTGTGAAACTTGGTCTCTGAATTAAGGGAGGAACATAGACTGAGGGTATTCGAGAACAGGGTGTTGAGGAGAATATTGAACCGAAGAGAGATGAAGTGACAGGAGGTTGGAGAAAACTACATAAAGAGGAGCTTCATAACTTGTGCTCTTCTCCAAGTATAATTAGAGTGATCAAGTCAAGGAGGATGAAGTGGGCAGGTCATGTAGCACGAATGGGGGAGAAGAGAGATGCATATAGGCTACTGGTGGGAAAGTCTGATGGAAATAGATCACTGGGAAGACCAAGGCGTAGGAGGGTGGTCAATATTAAAATGGATCTTAGAGAGATAGGATAGGATGGAATGGTATGGATTGGCTTGATCTGGCTCAGGATAGGAACCAGTGGAGGGCTCTTGTGAACACGGTAATGAACCTTCCATAAAATTTTTGGAAGTTCTTGAGTAGCTGCATAATTTGCGGCTTCTCAAGAAGGGCTCGGTCCATCAGTATTCTTATTCTCATTCTTCTTATTATAATAATAATAATTATTATTATTATTAGTAGTAGTAGTATTAGTATTAGTATTATTGTCTTTTGCCTTAATAATTTATCGAAAAGCGGTGGCTACATATACCACTTATCTAAACGGCCAGCATTTTTGTGTTTCGCTAAAATATTGCATTTGTAAAGTTTATTTGCCAAAATAAATAACGCCTGCTTTTATAATCATCTTGGTGTAAGAGATATAGTTGTTCTTCTCGAGACAGGGGCCGAATTTTGTGCCTCTTCAAAAGTCCCCTTTAAACGAAAGAACCATGTTATTTAACCACAAAATTAATTATCTTTTTTTCAAAAGCATCGCTTTAATTTATAAAATTATATACGCAACCTGAAGGTAAATGCACCAGTGTATATATTTCAGCATGTCTCAAAATACATTTTAAATTTCTAGATTGTAACAGTTATTAATCGGCTTAAAAATAGTGTGGGAACATCCCACATATTATCATGTCGGGGTCACCAATGTGGGATTTGTCGATTCTCCAATAGACAACCACAAGCTTTCCGAAGTGGTTGTCTATTGCAGTATTCCGCAACCTTTTTCTACTCGCGGCACACCATGAAGTATCCATGACTCAACACGGCACACCAAAATGTTATTCCCCTCAAAAAGGCATGATATCAGACAATTAATATAAATACGTAACGTGACCAACTTATTGTTATAATATTATTTTATTGTTATTTTATTATCATTAAACAGAAATCGACTCGAGCATTTATTAGCAATTAATGAAATTTAGTTCACTGTAGAGTGTAGAAAATACACTTCTATTACTATTAAAGTAAATACAGTAATTCTACTCATACCTTCAATGTGATACTTGCGCCTGCGTAGCTGCACACAGGCGACTGATCCGTGGTGGAATCGTTGGCAACGCAAGTCTCATTTCTTCATCGATGGATTTGAGCCGCTCCCTCTTTGATGTCTTAATTTCAGTTAATGTCGAGAAGCCCAGTTCACACAAATATGTAGTTGCAAATGGCAATAACACATTAACTGCCATCTCGGAGATAGCCGGGTATCCACTCCATATTGCCAACCAAAACGTATCCAAAGGCCCTTCGAGAAGTTTTAGTTTCAATGTTCTGTCTGCTTTTAAATCTGCTAGTTCCTCTTGTATATTAATCGGAAGATGCTCTGAATTCGCAACGAATGGATCGCGAACCCAGTCGAAATCTTGTACACTGTCTCCAAAATACTTATTAAATTTCTGCTGCAGCATTTCTAAATGTTCTTTAATTGTGTCCATCACCACTTTATTGCCGTCAGCAAGTGGCCGTACAGTCGGGGACATCTAAACGACCCATCTGTAATTCTCTAACTAGCAACCAAAATTTGCAAACTACTTCAGGGCACAGCTGTGATAGAACTGAAACAATTGTAAACCGCTGGATCTCTACTCTTCAAACGGAAGAAGTGACACTATACCGACTTATTTTTGAAATATTTATAATTTTAAATGAAGTCCAACAATCGGTGGGTGCATCGTTACAGGCAGAAAGTCATAAAGTTGAAGAAGCTCTAACTTCTAACAAACAGGGGCAAATACCGAAACAGCGCTATAAAAGACAGGAAAACCCAGGCTAATCCCTGCAGTTTTAGGGAAAAGCACGCACACAGAACATGCGGCAAGCATATCAAAGAAGCCGCGTAGATGCGAGAACAATAAAAATAAATCAATAATGAAAACTATGATATAACAACAACTGTGAGTAAATAATTTATGTTTAATTTCTTAGAATACAACATTACTGTACATAAAGAATCACGGAATGTAATAAAGAATAATATTTAATCAGTGCAGTGGGTGAGAATAAAATACAAGCATATGAAACACGGTAACTGGGATAAAATAAAACGAATAAAATTCGACAATTAATTTCTTACAATAGGTAAAAGTTCCCGTCACACCTATCACCTTGTGACGGCACACCGGTTGCGGAACAATGGTCTATTGGAGTATTGACAAATCCCACAATAGCTTAATCCTCATTCTCATCCTTGCTAATGCAACTTGCGTAGTGTTTCGATGGTTTACTCTAGCTGTTGCCATAGTGTCACATTTTAATTCGCTATTTCACTATTTCATTAGAGTATTCTGTATTTTTCGCTATCTCACAAGCGTCCACCTCCACCTGTATCCTGAGGCAGGCGAAGCCAGTACATACTCTAACACCGTTACTTGCCGGAGGGAAGAAGAGGTAAAGGATCTTAATTTCCTCGCTGTCCGTATATTTAATAAACAACTGACGTGAAACATCATCTCCTTTCCTAGTTAATGGTGGCAAAACGCTGCGGCGTTCCGGACGTAGTACGTCACAAACCGGTACGACGGAAACGATTTGTCGTTGGAGCTGAAGGGTGGAAGAAACGAGACATCACATACTTGTAAGTTACATATTACGTTAACACTGTAGTTACTGTCACATAATTTCCTTTCATTTATCAATTGAAGATATAATAAATCTTAAGAAAAATCGATTTTACAATACTACAGTTAAGCGCGGTAGCGTAGTTGGTTGAGGCACTATGCTACAAGCCGGAAGGTCGCGGGTTCAAATCCCGATGACGTCATTGGATTTTTTCCAATTTACCTAATCCTTCCGGCCGCAGTATGGTCCTGGGTTCGACTTAGCCTCTAACAGAAATGAGTACCAGAAATATTCTTAGGGGTAAAGGGCGGCCGGCGCGTAGGGCTGACAACCTCACCGCCATCTACGAGCCGATTGTCTAGAAAATTTGTAAACCTCAGCATCTCACAACCCTATGGGCCTCCACAGCCTGTCAACAGGGATAACTTTACTTACTTTTTACAATACTACAGCTAAGGAGTATTACGAAACAGTCTCATTACAAGCATTTTTTTTGTAGACATTAGGAAGCGAACAGGTTGGTTCAGACGTAACAATCTAGACTTGTATTTGTGAGATGTTCGGTTCGAATCTAGGCCGGGACATCGGCCAATCTGAGGTCTTTGTGGTTTCCGTCAGTCCTCCCAAGGCAAATGTTGGTATATTGTCACTTGACTGAGTGACTATAGACGGGGTTTGAATTGGTGATCGGATTTATTGAATACATACAGATCGTAACTACACGTAACTACAACTATAGCGTTATTGCTAATTCACTCACTCAACAGTTCAATACAGCACATACTAATTCTTCTTAGTCGCTGTCTGGTAACAGCTTTCAGTGCAACAGATCCCTCAACTTCCGTGCTGACTTCCTTACTGGCCGGCGACTGTCTTAAAACTAACTAAATTAAAGTCAAAGTCATATTGCGACTTACAGTCAGTCAGTAAGTCTTTGTGGCGAGCATCATCTGGGACTGATGCCCAGATGTTTATTAGTGACTGACAGTTATGGTCTTGTTTTTATGGGGCGCCCTCTCTGGCGACAGGACGGGTCTTTTGTATATGCTACTGGCCCATTACAGCGCACTCTTTCTAGTCGCGACCATATTCTACTGCAGTGCTGTCCAACGTTCTTATGTACTCGGGCACAATTCACTGATGCCTATGGAGGTGCGGGCGCCACCACACACTACTACTACTACTACTACTACTAATAATAACAATAATAATAATAATATTTTGCGAAAATATTTAACAGCACTCAGACGTTCAACAATGTATCTTGTCTTAAAATTTGAATTAATATTAAGAATCGGCTCAATTATATGTGGTTACGGAGGGCGCCAGAAAAATATATCACGGGCACCGCGTTGGACAGGGCTGTTCTACTGTATCAGATTTGAGATTTCCATTTTCGTCTCCTCCTTCGACTCGCAGGGTCACGGTGGAGGTATTCGTCCCCGCCTTCACACGGGTGTAACTGAACTAAACTCTGTAGACTTGTCCTGCATATAACACCTCTGCAGAAACCGCAAAGAAAATATTTTCACCAACAGTTCTTCTATTGTTGCGTCATGTAGCTGTCGCACGGACCGCGTAGAAAACACCACTTCCAAGTTAGTCCATTGGTGCGTGTTAGTAATCTGTTGCGGCCATGAACTAGCAATGGCCGTTAAGAGAGTCGTTACCTAGCAACGGGTCTACATGCTATAATATTATCTCAATTAGGCCAGTACCGCTTTATTTCAAATCCTTCTTAATTCATCAGCCATCCCATCAGCCGATGCTACATAACATCGATACTGAAAGCGTTGTTAAATAACCTGCAGAAATTTGGGCCTTCCATGACAATACTATGGCCATCCACTTTGATACTCTGTAGCGTGTAGGTGGGTATAGGCGTTTTGGAGGAACACACTGCTCCATCTTCTACATGAAGATGGAAGCACTATGTTCTTCCGAAACGTTGGTACCCATCTATTATACGCCAAACTAATGATTGCCCCTGGCCGGCAAGGGGCTGTCTTTTGTTGATAACAGACTGATGATGACTGCATTCAGAAATTGCAGAGAGACAGGTAGACCTGTATACTGACAGGACTACTTTGATGCTGGTCATATAACTCGTCACAAAGTAGTTCGCCTTTCAGACATAGGCGACTACATATTGGTTTAATAATGTAACAACATAATGCAAACCACACCAGTTGCCCTGTTTATTTCTGAGGTTGCTGTAAGTCATACCAACACACAGTATTTAATCAGTTGATACTTCTAAATAAAGTAAAAGAGTATATTTGTCCTTGTGCTTAATTAAGTAAGCACTATGGCATGAAGGTGTATGGGGGGAGAGGATGTATAGATCCATGTTTTATTGACCTTGAAACTAGTTGGAGGTGAGTTGTCAGCTTCATGCCCCAGCCACTTTACCCCCAAGGAAATAACCTTGGTAACAATCTGATAAGAGGCTGGGTGGGCCCCAGAGCCAGAAAACAAATTCTTGACCCTACTGAGACTTGAACTCTGACCTCTTGGTCTTCCAGCCTGCAGCCAGTTGTTATACCTACTGCACTATCCCAGCTCCATACTACTCCTGAGGGCTTGCCTCATATATCGATAGCAGATCCAATGCTAAACCTACCTCTCCACCTGCCCCCAGCAATGCCCAACCATTCACCAGAAACAAGGACTGCTGCTGCTCCAAAGGTTAACAGAAATGATATCCAGAGCTTACATACCTAACATTAATTAATAGGTTCTTTCCCTGAACAGGCATACTAGTGAGCACTGTTCGGGCCCTAGATAATATACATGCACAAAAATGAAATCAGCAAACCTTCAGATGGACGCATTCCTCTGATTTTCTCTGCCTCTTTCCCAGTTAATAGTACACCTGCAGGACTGTTTTCAGGAATTTAGCCAGTCTGCAATTCCATGTTTGAAAACAATTTTGTTGAAGAATGGTCCTATTGTTAACAGTGTTGCTAACTGGTCACCAAAGCTTTCTGAGGAGGATGTGGTAAATGAGATGAAGAGAGCATTTAAATCATGGAGTGGATATGCAAGGCTCCATTTTCATCACATTCAGGAATCAAATGCTGACATTACAATAGCATTTGGACGAGGACCTCATCAAGATGGGTAAAAGTGTTCAAATATTAGAGAAGAGTAAAAAACCTGAATAAGCCTTTTATTGGTATGAGTCACTGTTGACCTACAGGCTTCTAGAAGTTAAATTCATCCAGTAGAGATAGTAAAGATGGACAGCGATTTAGAATAAAAAAGGTTAAATTACACAGATACTCATTTTGAATGAAAATGTATGTTCACATCTATGCACATGTAAATATATGCTCTTGCTCAATAATGACATTCCCTTTCTCAAGGTCTAATGAAAATTCATAAAAATACTAAATAATAGGGAACATCTGAGTGGTTAATGTGTTGTGATTTGATGATCAGAGAAGCAGGATTCTAACCAACAGGGAACGGCCATGCGGTTAATGTGCCATGATTGAGTGAACAAAAGAGTGGGATGCTAGCCAGTAGAGAGCATCCATGTGGTTAGTGAGCCATGACTGACTGAAGACAGCAAGGGTGCTAAACAAATACATACTGCAAAATAAATATTTGAAACATTTATATTTAAAAGTCCACTTGAAGAATTCTGTCTTCTTGAATACAGAACCACAGTGTCCTAAAAATCAACCGACATTTCAGGCAAAGTTGTTGCCTCCACCTTCAGGGTTGAGGGGTAAGACAAGCAAGAAACCAGCATAAGGCAGGCAGCAAGCACAGCATATCACTTACAAAAATGTGGGACTGTATAGAAACAGAAGGGACCTTGGAAGTCAACCCATCACTTCCCATTGGCTGTGTAAAAAAACAGGGTGAACGAAGAATAGACAGGAGAAGAGAGACTAGGTATGGCCATTAAACTAACATGTTGGCTTCTGTCATCCTGTCTTTCTACACAAGCTATGTGCTCTGCTTGCTGCCTGTTTCATGCTGGTTTTGATCTTAGCTTACTCGTCAACCCTGTAGATGGAGGCAACATGTTCCTCCAAAATGTAGATTGACTTTCAATAACAGCGTTATATCCAATAAGACAGAACTCTTCACAACCACCACTCTGAGAACCTCAAATCCTAAATACAGATGATACACGAAAAAATAACTCTTAGCTCTGTCAAGAAAGAAGAAGAACTTGAATTCTCAACCAGAAGGGACACAAAGTTTCGGTAGATTTCGGAATTTATGGAAGGCTTCCATTTTGCAATATGTGTTAACAGGCCTCAGTACCTAATAATTGAAGAGACGATGAGGATAAGAGAAAAAAAGCAAGTAATTTGACTACATAAGAAAAGTGACAGAATATTAACCATTTCCAGCTGAAACTTCATTGTTTAATTTCCATATCCATTAGCTTTGGAAAGAAAGAACAAATGTTCTTTCCTGACCTTCATACTGAAAAATATTGAATTTCTTGATAATGTATATTTTCAGCAACCACAATAAATTCATTATGTGTGTGTACACTATGTCCATAAATATGCAAACAAAAATGGCTGTAAGTTGCATTCTATTCTATTCTATTATATTATATTTCTATAGAAATAATTAAAATACCTTGAGTGAAGTGGTTTGTAAAATACAGTCTCCTGAATACTGTATGTAAAATGGTCTTCACACATATCTAATTTCAGATTTACACTAAATTGAATCATGACAGAAAAATAGAATTATGACATTGACACACAGAGTAAACTGCATAACCAGTGGACATAAAGACAAAGTGTGGGTAATGTTATGAAAATGAACATAAAATCCATGATTATGTTTTACAGGTATCCTTTTGATGGACCTGGTAATATATTAGCTCACGCTTTCTACCCGTATGAAATGGACAGTTATGGTGGTGACATACATTTTGATGATGATGAAAACTGGAAGATTATAACAAGTGAAGATGTTGATGATGGTAAACATATTATATATTGCAGGAGATGAGGGCTATGCTCACATTTTTAGCTAGTTCATTGTAGATTGGAATTCCACAATTATAAACTCTACAAAGAGTTAAAATTGATTTCTAGCCCAGAGTACAATCTAGTAAAAATATGATTGTGTGTTGTATTTTAGCATCCTGTTGCACTGATTTTCATCCATGATATGTATACAGTTGCCGTCTTGTAGTGCACTCAATTTCACCTGTTACTTCACGACATGTTTCAGCAACATAGTGCCAACATCAGGTGCCCTAATTATGCTAATCTATTGCATTGCTTGCCTTTATATGTCTTTATAAAATTATTTAAAAAGTATTTAAAAAGTGCGTATTTGTCAGCTATAATGAATTTACACACACTAAAACTTGTTAAGATTATTCATCTTATCTTACAACACATAACAGATAGAAGCCGAAAGTAATAATAAGTACCTTTTTTCACGTTGCAGGTTTACACAGAATATAAGAAAAACGACCCCCATAGTGGAAGAACCACACGCAAGTTTTAATTAAGACACATAAGATGAATAATCTTAACAAGTTTTAGTGTGTGTAAATTCATTATAGCTGACAAATACGCACTTTTTAAATAATTTTATAAAGACATATAAAGGCAAGCAATGCAATAGATTAGCATAATTAGGGCACCTGATGATGGCATTATGTTGCTGAAACATGTCATGAAGTAACAGGTGAAATTGAGTGCACTACAAGACAGCCACTGTATACATATCATGGATGATTGTGTGATTTCCTAGTAGATTTTATTTTCAAAATAAAATTTTATAAAGCACAATAATTAGAACTTTTTTATTTTGTTCATTGTGGTAGGTCAGAAATGCTTTTCTCACTGTTAGACATGTGTTGAAAAAAATAAAAAAGACTTAAATTGCTGATAAACATATCCAGCACATACTTACGAATTCTTCACTATGAAATGAACAGATTATACTTTTGTTTGAAGTATCTCTGTTCTCAACATTCTACTGACTTCAATAGGCTTAGATAACTTCCAACTATACTGTAGCTATTGTAATTCTATGACAACATAAATCATGTACTTCTTTCCAGTAATAAATATATTTACTTTTCTTAGGAGTGGACTTCTTTACAGTAGCAGTGCATGAACTGGGCCATAGTCTGGGTCTAGCTCATTCACCAGTCTCAACTTCTATCATGTTTCCTTACTACAAGGGCCACCAAAACAACTTCCAGCTTGGCTATGATGATATTCTTGCCATGTATGAACTTTACAGTTAAGTCCAAGTGTTTCTTTTAATAAAACACATTAAACATCATGACATGACACTGTCGGTGGAAACTGGTAAATAATATGGCAGAAATGACATTTCAACTTATGTCTGAAAATTATGATTTTATTTAAGAACATATAATGTTTGTGAGGAAAAAAAAAAGATTTATAACCTGGAACGATATTATTACAGTTTTGTACTAGCAGTAGACTGGAAAAATTATCAAGTGCTATATATTTTTCTTATTCTAAGATAGTAATGATTATGCATTCAGTGCTATGAATTCAAAAACAAACAATTTAAAATGAATAGCCAGGCATTAAACATGAACACACAACAAACAAATGTAAATTAAAGGTAGTGAGACACTAGACAGACAAATGTTTTCTTTTAGCAACAATAGGCTTACACATATGTGGAACTACACCTTCCCAAATCACCCAATTTTCTTGTGATGTTAATTACAAGAACTAAACAGACTGATTTAATTTTTTAATTTATCATGTTCTATGTTCTCATAACACAAAGATATTAAACATAATTTGGAATGTTTCCTTTTTTAAGAATAAGACTATAGAATGTCCATAGAATTACTATCCTGCAATTCTCATTCATTTAAAGATAAATAAATAAGTTTCAGTATTTTAAACTGTGTGCAATTCTTGCATTAAACAATCATAATTGTTTAAAAATTCACAGATGAGTCAACAGTTTATTGGATGTGAGGTTGTCACAGTAGGGATTATGAAGAGTACTATCTACTGGGTTGTGATGCCATGTACCCTTGATGTCTGCCTCTTGCTGATTATTTGCTCGGCTTATGCTTCGACCTTACAGAGGGAGGCAGTAGGTTCCTCGAAAACAACATTTAACTTCTACAAGCTTACACAATGACACATCCCAGAAGACAACACTGTTTGAACCAACAGTTATTTCTAAAATCATGTGCTTTTCTAGTTAGGATAAACCTCTCTACTTTCAGTTGCAAGACACTTGGAAGGAGATTATGAGACAACGGCAGGAAGACACCAGCATGAAGGAGGTGATACTGAAGATGAGAGAAATGAGAGTGAAGACAATGATGTGAACCCAAGATCTGAAGATGAGGATAATGCAGGAAGAAGTGCTGAAGAATCACCAGGCACTAGCTACCCATTATCTCCAACCACACCTACAACAGAAGACTCTATAACATTTACTGGTGATGATGAAACTGTTGAAGACCATAAAGGGCATGATGACAAACACAGAATACCACCATCATCCTCACCTTCAACACCAGACATATGTGAAGGGAACTTTGATGCTGTAGCTGTTCTTCGTGGAGAGTTGTTCATTTTCAAGCAAGAGGTATATGCATTCTTTTAGAATTTCCCACGTCCTAACTCATTAATTAGTACTTTAATGGCAAATTATTTTTTTACCGTTAATCTTCTTTTTTTCCTTGGCACTACAGCCCCAGTGGGCCTAGGCCTACCTCCATGAACTTCTCCGTTCACTTCGGTTTTTTCTACATCTTACACATTCGGTAGGACTCCTTGGGCGGGTGATCAGCTCGTCGCAAGGCCTCTACCTGTACACAAACACAGAAAAACGCACACACGAACTAAATATCCATGCCTTGAGTGGGATTCGAACCCATGATCCCGGTTTCCAAGCAAGCGAAGACAGTACATGCCTTAGACCGCTCGGCTACCGTGAGACCGGCACCATTAATCATACAATTCATTATTTTTAAGCAATTACTTTGAGAACTGTATATGGAGTAGTTCATTAGTTATCTAAAAACAAATTATTTTTATTATAATATAATCCATGATTTTGAAGGAGATAGCTGCATTATTTAACACCTACTGAATTAATTCTTTAACTCTCATTAGTCCCTGCCAGTTATTAATAATAATGTTAGCCTTTTTTTTGTAAGAATCTGTCAAAATCTCTAATAGATGAATTTTCTGATGGGTTTAGAAGACTTCACCTGTATATCAGTGACATTAGGCATGGACAAAATATGGGCTGCAGGCTACATGTGAGCTGCTGACATACTTTGTACAATATTTTGTGTTTCACACATATTTGTGTACAAATAATGCATTCCTTTAATGTATGTGTACATACATAGTGTGTGTGTGTGTGTGTGTATTTTATTTTATTACAAACCTTATAGTTGTGTCAGCCACAAAATGAACAGATTCCTTCCCACCTGTCTGCCCTGCAGCTACCTCCCCTTCACACACTTTTTCCTACTCCCACCAGTTTGTCCCTTATGTCCTAAATCTCTGCATTCTTGGTTTGTTACTCTGTTGATGACGGAATGGGATGCCATGTAGGTTGCACAGAGAAGCAGGCAGGTGATTTGATCTCCCACCTCTCGTGTTCATTCTTCACATGACCTGAGCACAGTTCTTACTGGTTCAATATTATTTAAACTTAAACTGTTGGTAAATATATGCTTGATGGCACTTACTACCTGAAATCAAATCTGAAAATGCCTTGCCTTGCCAGTATTTTTTCTATGTCATATTCAACAAAATATAAAACAATATCACAACAATCTTTTGCAGTACATGTGGCGCTTAAGTCAACGTGGGGAAGTGCAAGAAGGATACCCTGTGCCATTCCAACAGCTTTTCTGGAAACTTCCCAAGTATATTATTAAAATTGATGCAGCCTACCAACGGGAGACAGATGGAAGCATTGTACTCTTTACAGGTAAAACTCTTACAAATCAAGTCTCTCTACTTTTAATCTTTAACATTTAAATACACCAAAATTTCCTACATGAGAGACTGAAATATATTAAAAGTTAGTGAGGAATTAATAAGTTATTGTTTACTGTACAGATTTCGTACATTCCATATTTCTCATGACTTGCAGATTAAACCTAAGAGGCCACCCCAAACAAACTATTACTCCTCTTTGCCACTTTTGAGGGAACGGAAATATTGGTCATGGCAACGGCAGTCTTGTACTGCATGTAATATTAAATGAGGATTTGTTTGAAAACCAATTTATCACTAAATCAATATATTCACTGAGATTCAAAAACCAAACAGTAGACCATACAGCGGAAACACAAATGATGATTAACACCATGTGTTTTGGTGGCTGATATATACTGGCAAGATTAGTGTGACTACATTCTAAGGTTGTAAGGGTCTACTGATCCTGCAAATCATGCCTCATTGGTATATGATCACTGGTGAATTCTACACAGCTACTACTAGGTTTCAAGCAAAAATACTACGAAACGTTGACAATGAAAGTCACAAAAGAATTCAGACTGTTGTACAATAAGACTTTCAGAAATTTAATTGTCCACCTTACAGTTTAACCTTGGACCCAAGCAATATCATTTCCTATGCAAGATTTCCTGTTTCCACTGCTGAACAAATGTCTGTAGAGAAAGAGGGTCTCCAAAACAATGAAATTAAATATGCTGTCTGTGCTTGGTTTGAAAAACAAGAAATGAATTTCCAATCTGAGTAAAGCAACTCAGCAACTTCTCCTCCACAATTTGGTTCATACACAGGCAGATAAATTATTGAAGAACTCCTTGACACTAATTACTTACTACATTGCATCAAAGTTTATCCTATGAAATTTTCTCTCAACTTAATGTGTTATGTGTGTCCACAGGGAAGACGTTTTGGGTATACAATGGTGACAATTTTATAGAAGGAAGCCCTCGACCCCTGACAGATTATGGTTTACCACCACACCTTGATAAAATAGATGCTGTTATGGTGTGGAGTAAGAACAGTAAAACATTCCTGTACAGGTGAGTTCTATGAGATGTTTTTTACAGTGAGGAAGGGAGCTGTATTCAACATTAAGTAGATGAGAAGCAATAGATCTGAATCAAGGTACCACTGCAATATTTTTCTAAAAAAAATAAATTCAAAAAATTGAGTTCACACTCTTTATCACAACTATTGGTGATAACACTGTAGCTGCATGGTAACACTCAGGAATTTTGTCAAGATAGACTGTGGTCTTCTGAGTTGCAACACTGTGTTGTATTGTAGGAGGATATAAAGTTTTGGAATAACATGATGCCTCCACCTTCAGAATTGAAGTGGGTGCAAGAAGCATGCTGTCATGACATATAAGCACCTTGCAAGGAAAGAGGTCATACAGACCCACAGGGGTGGGAGCGGAGATGGAGACCGGTCTAGACCAATAGGAACAATAAACTAGAAAAGCAGATATCCACCACAATACTACACTGTGTCACAACCCAGAAGACTAACACCACTACAAAAACCTGGAAACTTACTACACTTTAAAGTTGTATTTCACTGTCATCTTAGGACATATTTTAGATTTTACCGGCAATATTTAATTACAGCAAGGACATGTACTGGAGATATAATGAGACAATAAGAAAAATGGATCCTGGATACCCCCATAATATTAGCAGGTGGAGAGGGGTTCCTTCCGACTTAGATGCTGCAATGACATGGACAGATGGTTTCACATACTTCTTCAAAGGAAGGCTATTTTGGAGATTTGACAACATTTTGATCAAAACTGATGACCACTATCCTTTACCTGCACCACAACACTGGATTGGATGTCCAGAAAAACCAGACACTATTTGGTGGTGATAGAGTGTAACATGGTGAATTATTTATGTTTCAGTGACTTGTATGGAACATTGGATTTCATACTAAAGAACAAAAGCAAGTGCAGCTGAATATGAACTGTGTTATAACAAGTACTAAAACAGTAACTTCATATATAATGAGATCACTGCTTTCCTGTAAGTCTTGATAAATACTGACTGCAGTGCACTATTGACTGTATCATTTAATAATTTATAGTCTGACTGGTATCATGCATGCATGGAGTATTTATCATACATATTCATGAGAGACATTATTTGTGAACATGTGTTTGCAAAGACAATATATTCATAGAATTCACAGACTCATATTATACAAAAGTGGCAACATACACAAAAGTTGTATACTTTTTAAAGATCTGTCACCATTCACAATTAGAAGATCCAACATTAAATAACATGTTATGCTCACCTCAGATGTTTGCATAACTGGCAAAGTGGCACTGATGGCATAATATTGATAGAAAACTTCACGAAAATTGGTTTATTCAAGTCACTCCCATACACTCACACATGGAAGTGATGATTTCATTAGCCTATGTTTTCACAGAAAACAGTAGAATATGGTGTACTATTTGAATAGTAAGTGAATACTGTCTTCTGGAACAGCTGTGCACACCTTAGACATCTAAAAATTATTGAATAAAAAAATGTTGGAAATAATTCAAGTGAAGGTATTGTATACTGTAGCTGAAGGCAACTACTGGTTGTTGTCTTTGAGCTCACTGCAGGATTTTTGGCTAGATAGGGTTCCTCAGGCAGGGTATGAGGTTTGCACCTCAGGCTTTTAAATACTGACTGTTGTACAGAAACTACAGGAAATTAGGAATACAGACGTGTCCATTCTCATTACATACTTCATTGTTAGAAATCATTATAATTAATAATGTGCTTTGCCCTGCACAGCTATTCATACTTGAAAGAGAATTTTGTGGCCTGCTGAATCTAACAGCAGATTAATGCTTCGTTTGGCTAAACTAAACCACAAACCCTTCAGAGGCCAAAATTGGAAAACTTAATACCATTTTGAAGTTGACATTAATGCTTGGCTGGGCTTATACAAGTATACAATCACTCCATCTGGTACACACAACTGAAAAGCCAGAATTTAAATTACAGATGTCCAACATGTATCTTAGGCACACCCAGTATAGTGCAACAATGTTTACACTACAGTGACAGGAAAGAATCATTCAAACTCATCATAGTTGAATAGTCGGTACATGTTTCATATTCCACAGGTTCGAGTGTGAACCTTGGCCTGGAGACTGGCTGTCCTAGGCATTTTTGCGGTTTCTTCTAGTCCATCCAAATACTTGGTTAGCACATTAAACTACATTACTGTTTCCTTTTGCATTCTTTCCAATTCAACATCACCATACCATTAGACATAAAAACTGTAGTTTAAAATAATCCATAATATTCAACAAATCTTGTAAAAATCTACATTACTTACAGCTCTGTCTACTAGTGAACTAACGAACTACAGTATCCTTGCTATTATCTGAGGTACTGGAAATGAAGTTTGCAATCTGCTGGTTGTACGAGATAAATTCTTACAGAAATCCAATATAAGGTCAATATAACATGATTTTGCTTTAGTTCTTACACATGTATCTTTCTAGGTGATATAACCTGTTGATGGGTCAAAGATTTTGGATCATACACTGTAACAGAATAACAGAACAATGGGTAGTGCTGTTAACGGTGGCTGGGAGAACTATATGGGAGGTTAATATATGCACATCACAAATTTCTTTTTTAATAACTTATATAAACATAGTCATTTTTCTTTGACGTTTCTACTAATAGGATGAGAATTCAGGATACTTGGTTACTGAATAACCAGGTCACTGCATGTACAAAATCCAGGTCCATAAAATTAGTGTTGTTAACTCTTTGACTGGCGCGAAGGGTATTTAAATCCCACCCCTGTCCTGGCAGGCCCTTTAAGCCTTAAGTCGCTAAAATGTATGTGTTTACTTTTTTTCTAAATAACTTCAACAAAAACTGGATTTTAAAAACGAAATTTTCAGGAACTAATAAAAAGACAATATTTTACCTCTTTAGTAGTTTTTCTTCGTGTGATAAACATTGAAACATGAAAGTTTGCAGAGAGCCACACCACAGCCTGCACACATGACACTTGTTTCTTTTCTAATCTTGTGCTTAGCACACACGCGACACTTTCTCATGGCACCATTCTTCTTCTTGTTACTGGGATAACATGGACCATTTTATGTATTTTCAGGCCTCCCTCTAGATGATTTGCTGGGTCTTTCACTGGTGGTCTTTTCAAGGTTGCGGGCGGAGGCATGACTGCACTCGAGTCTGAAGCAATAGATTCATCATCCACTTCATTCCTTGACTCTTCTCCCTCTCCACACTGTTTGTTTGGTTGTCATTTTTTCTATACAGTCCAACATAAAATCTTTGAATTTGTAATTTCTCTTCTTGTATTTTTCGTTTGTTGTGTTCTTTTTGAATAGAATGGAACTATTGAATGCTGCCATTTGCAACAAGAAAGACACCAGTTTCTATGTCCACTTTACTGTTTTGCGGGAACAAGGATAGTAATGCAGCATTTGATCAGCCCTGTCGGCCCCTCTCATATGTTTATTGTAGTCCCCAATTACCTCAGGTCTGCATATTTTTTCTCCTTTGCAATTCGTTTTTGCAGATTCCACGATTTTTGCTGTGTGAAGAGTGGAGATAAGTTTGATGTCTCTTTTATCTCTCCACACCGTGTATGAGAACCTGCCCCTTCCTAGAAAACACAGATTCCCCTTTTTTTCAAATTTTTTATGTCATCCTTTAGTTCTTTAGGAGCTCCTCTGTCCATTTTGAAGGTTCCACAAACATAGGTATTTCTCTGATAACGCCTCACACACAACTGGCACACAGTAGGATTTCATTGGGCAACAGAGAATAAAAACATAACATTTAAGAAACTGAAATTACTTTATCATCATATATGGTGTGTTTTATTATTACATAGAAGATGAAAATGAATTTAAAATATTTGTAATCTGACATTATATAAATTATTAAAATATTTGTAATCTGACATTATATAAATTAAAGTACATATATAACTTCATTCTCCCTTACATTCATTCAGAACTTCTGTAAAGCCAAACAAAAGAAGTATCAACTCTCTAATATGCAACCCTGCTACTCCATTTTACAAAACTACAACTTGATCATCAAACATTACTTGAGTCACATGGCCAGGTTTTCAAGCAATACAAAACTGTTCATATTGTACAAACTTAATTCAACAAGGTAACACAACAGAGTTGGCCAGAATGTTAAATTATGTGCCATAATCTGGAATCAGGATAATTTTTAACAAGATTTTAGAGGACTAAAACTTCAGTGTGTATAATATTAAAAACTGTATTATATTTANTTCACATTCTCAGAATCACCATATTGCCTAACAGTTTTATAATCAAAATTAATTAGCTACAACAACTCTGGGGATTTGGATCTACTCCAGATCTCTTTGTTATATATATCCTTGTAAACTCCTCAGCTACTGTTGGATGGATTCCGACTGTTGACTGAAGTTGCTTCATTGTCAGTCCGCATCTAGAATAATAATAATATATCAATCCAACAGCCAGTATAAATTATAATATATGGAAAGTGAAACCTATAATTTATTTATCATCCATAATGGAGCACTCTATCCAGTGAAACGCTCTACCAGTCTTATCTGGAGTATGTACTTACAAAGCACTCCAGATCTCTATTACAAATATGAAGCCAATGAGAAGATCAACACTTCAACAACACTTGAATCAAAAACACCACAAACTCAAATCATAAAATGGATCAATAAAATGTTGTCTCTTTATCATTAATCTGATGTGTTCTGTCAAATCGGTTCCTCTTCAAGGACTGAATTAATCATAATTGTTCACAACAAAATATTGCCTAGCTCAGGCAGTTAGAGCTTGGCTTAGCAACATGGAAATCCAGGCACAATCCCAGGACAGTCCATGTGAGATATGAAGGGACAAAACTTTTCTTATCCTAGCCAGTCCCCATTTCATTGATACTCCATATTCATCTGTCACTGCATCCTCTGAAGTGTGAAAAAAGTCTTGGCAGTGACCACATCATAACCTTGGCTAATCCTCATTTGGGACTTATTTAAAAATAGACCGGTCACAACAAATTGTATGTATATATATATATAGCAGTATCACTCCTACATAATAAGCAATATATATAAACACTTACTTCATAGCTGCAGCAAATCCTTGAATCACTTCCCCTGCTTGTGGGCCAACAAAGTGCATCCCAAGCACTTTCTGTGGATCTTTCCTCTTGGAAATCACTTTGGTGTAGCAATTCTTGACATTTCGTTGTGGTACCGAAAATTCTGTAGGCTTGTAAAATGCATGAAATACCTCTATGTTGTCTTCTCCATATCTCTTTATGGCTACTTCCTCACTTATACCCACTGTACCATACTCTAGTGGAGTGAAAACTGTTGTTGCGACAGTCTCGTAGTCCATCTGTTCATTGCTATTGCTGAAGAGGCGTTGGGCTAGCAACTTTCCTGCTTGAATGGCCACTGGTGTCAGTTCTGGCTTCTCCTATGAATAAATGACATATGTAACAGATGGTACATAAAAACTGCACATATAATCACTACATTATTAGAAACAGTATAACAGGATCAAAATAAATACCACACAAAGATCAGTAATGGTGATATTGCAGTTCTTGCACTTCAAACTAGACAGCATATTAAGTATTACCACATAAATTGTATTTTTAAAAAATCAAGTCAAAACTAAACAGAACACACAAGAAAGAAAAATAAATAATTTCAAATTATACTGAAGAACTATACATATCCCAGGCAACCTTCATGTATATTGGAGAGTTCTCAAACTGTTGTTGTTGTTAACTGCCTTGGTGAAAAGAGATAAGAGGGGAGGCCAAGGCCACACTTCTGCAAGCCTACTGCATCAGTCTGCCATGTGACACTGTACTATGAACATGCACTGTTTTTACACGAGTGCCTTTTCGACTTCGTGTTTTGTTTTGTCTGTGATGGATGCAAAAATCGAGCAATGTGTCTGCATCAAGTTTTGCGTGAAGCTCAGTAAATCCACTATCGAAACCCCTTAAATGATTCATGAGGCTTTTGGGGAACACTCTTTTAAGCCAGACAGTGGTTTTTGAATGGCGTTCATGTTTCAAGGACAGTAAAGTGTCAGTTGAAGATGACAAATGTTCAGGGCGACCAAGCAACAGCAAAATAACAGAAAATGTCAAAAAAATTTTAGAACTCATCCATGAAGACTGTCACCAAACAATCCATGAGCTCGCAGACACTGTTGCAATCAGTTATGGAGTTTGCCAGATCTTAACAAAAAATTTGAATATGCATGCATTGCTGCAAAGTTTGTTCCCCGATTCTTAACAAATGATCAAAAGCAGCAAAGTGTAAATGTATCTCGAACAAGACGAGGCTAATGAGGGTCCAACTCTTATTTCTAGGATCATAATGGGTGGCAAAAGTTGGATTTACAGTTATGATCCAGAAACAAAGGAAGAACCACCATGGTGGAAGAGTCCACAATCACAAAGAGCAAGAAAGACATGGCAGGTCCAGAGTTCGACAAAGAGCACACTCACTGTTTTTTTTTTAACATGAAGGGGATTGTTCATTGACAATTTGTTCCTCCTAACACTATGATCAACTCTTACTTTTACTGCGATGTTTTGATATGCTTGAGATAAAATTTGCCACGAAAAAGACTGGAACTTTGGCACAACTACAAGTGGTTCCTTCATCACAACAATGTGCCCACCCACATGTCTGTGAAAACCACACAGTTTGTGACTTACAGCATTATAGCAACATGGTTATGGTTCCTCACCTTCCCTACTCACTGGACTTAGCCTCGTGATTTTGCTTTGCTTCTAAAACTGAAAATGAAACTTTACAGATGATGTTTTGAAACAATCCCTGATATCCAAAGGCAGTTGCAAGCAGCACTCAAAAATATTAAGGAAAATGACTTCCACAGTGCTTTTAAAGTGTGGAAAAAACAATGGGATTGCTGTATACATTCCAAAGGAGACTACTCGTAGCCAAACAAAATAAAAACCTCACTTTTTACAATAAATTAATCTGATAAAGACTTTCTTTAATATTTTCATTTGACAAGAGAGGCCTCAATTTAGTAACTTTCTACTGTGAATATTATTTGTCAGCACTGATAATACATGAAAGTTTTCAGGCAGGACCTCGAAGGTTTATATGAGAGGCAGTGAGAAATTAAGTTTACAAGGCAGATAACCTCACAACAAAAAGACAAACTCATTATGGGCAGTATGTGAGTCTTTTTAATCACTGATGGTAACATGGCTTGTTCAATTTCCCACTATCTACCATCTGAATAGTGAATATTACTTGGTTGGAACAGTGGTCCATGCTGTAATTGTTTTTAAATACAACGGTGTGCTGGTGGTAGAAATTCATTGCCAGTTTGTGGAAGATTATGGTGAAGATGGTATGAATCTGCAAAGTATAGCAAAATGTATGTGGAGTTTCAGGCGGAAAAGCCACTACAGAAAATTACGAAAGTAGTGGCAGATGTACAATGGCAAGAACTGCTAACACTGCATTTGCCAAAAATGCAATTCACAATAACCCTTTGACTGGCGCGAAGGGTATTTAAATCCCACCACTGTCCTGGCAGGCCCTTTAAGCCTTATGTCGCTAAAATGCATGTGGTTACTTTTTTCTAAACAACTTCAACAAAAATTGGTTTTTAAAAACGAAATTTTCAGGAACTAATAAAAAGACAATATTTTACCTCTTTAGTAGTTTTTCTTCATGTGATAAACATTGAAACATGAAAGTTTGCAGAGAGCCACACCACAGCTTGCACACATGACACTTGTTTCTTTTCTAATCTTGTGCTTAGCACACACGCGACACTTTCTCATGGCACCATTCTTCTTCTTGTTACTGGGATAACATGGACCATTTTATGTATTTTCAGGCCTCCCTCTAGATGATTTGCTGGGTCTTTCACTGGTGGTCTTTTCAAGGTTGCGGGCGGAGGCATGACTGCACTCGAGTCTGAAGCAATAGATTCATCATCCACTTCATTCCTTGACTCTCCTCCCTCTCCACACTGTTTGTTTGGTTGTCATTTTTTCTATACAGTCCAACATAAAATCTTTGAATTTGTAATTTCTCTTCTTGTATTTTTCGTTTGTTGTGTTCTTTTTGAATAGAATGGAACTATTGAATGCTGCCATTTGCAACAAGAAAGACACCAGTTTCTATGTCCACTTTACCGTTTTGCGGGAACAAGGATAGTAATGCAGCATTTGATCAGCCCTGTCGGCCCCTCTCATATGTTTATTGTAGTCCCCAATTACCTCGGGTCTGCATATTTTTTCTCCTTTGCAATTCGTTTTTGCAGATTCCACGATTTTTGCTGTGTGAAGAGTGGAGATAAGTTTGACGTCTCTTTTATCTCTCCACACCGTGTATGAGAACCTGCCCCTTCCTAGAAAACACAGATTCCCCTTTTTTTCAAATTTTTTATGTCATCCTTTAGTTCTTTAGGAGCTCCTCTGTCCATTCTGAAGGTTCCACAAACATAGGTATTTCTCTGATAACGTCTCACACAATTCTACACTACTGTAATAGTTATACTCATAGAAATGATACCCTTTATCTAGAAGCTGTGGCCCCAACAGATCGACAACTAATTCCTTTATAGGTCTTGATTTTCCGCAATAAATTTCAAAATTCCAAATATATCCACTTGTCAATTCACAAACAAGATAAGCCTTTATACCATACTTATCAGGTTTATCAGGCATATATACTCGGAAGATAAGACGTCCTTTCCAAGTGACTATTCCTTCATCTATTGCAATTTCCTTTTCAGGGATATATGTTTTCCTAAATTTCCCCACTAATGAGTCTATAATTTGCCTAACTTTATACAGGCGATTTTCACAGTCAGCTGGTAGTGCATCGTTGTCTGCAAAATGAAGAAATTTTTAAATCTGTTGGAACCGCCGCAGACATCTTTGGTCAATACCACGGAGTGTGAAATAGGGGCCTAGTGGACCAATATTCTTCAATTTCAGGGCGTTTGTCAATTCCTGTCATGGACACAATTCCTAAGTATGTCCAGGTTTCATCTGGTGTGACATATTTGTAATTGTGTTCTCGAGCATGAGGAGCTAACTCATGTGTGTTGAAGTGCTGGTGAGCATAGCGACTGGTTTCAGTTGTGATGTGATTCACTAAGTCGCCATCCAGAAAAATTTTAATCCATGAAAAGGGGTGCATTTTATGTGTTATATCAATTTTGATCCCGGAACTACTAGTAAATGGAACTATTGTTGGCACAATGTCTCCATACGTCCATGAGATGGGCGTGTCACGCACCGCACTTGTGGTAGGTAAATGTTCTTGATTACTGTCTTGTGGATGATTGTCTATCACTCTATTATTGTCACTATCAACTTCATCTAATTCAAGAATCATTATTTCATCGCCACTATCATCATCAGCACAAATCTCATTCACAACACTTTCCAGCTGGTCTGTAGGAACACGCCGACACTTGCTGTGAGAATCCATGGTGAAACTGAATGAATGTGAAATATTTTCTGACCTTTTCCTTCTCGGAGGGTTCTGACAGTAATATAGACCCCCACAAAGTTTACAAGGGTTCTTTACAAGCATGCACAAAAACTATCATATATGTCTTTGGTTGATGAGTACCAAGAGAGCAAAGAAGGGAAGAGATTGTCAAAGCGTTATAACACGCCAACGCCAGGAAACGGCTGGCATCGCCTGGGCATTAAAACACGCCCGCGCCAGTCAAAGAGATAATATAAGAACAATGGTGAGTGCCTTGCAACATGACTTGAATCTGTCACATGGAACACTGATCAAAACCATTCAGGATTCAGGTTTTAACAAAATGTGCGTATGCTAGGTGCCTCACGCACTACACGATGAATGCCTTGTGCTTGTAATTTTGCCAGTAGTCAAGAATACCTTTGGTGCACTGTCACAAAAGACGCAACATGGATTCCTCACCATACCTTCAAAACACAACACCCCAGTTCTACATAATCATGGAGTTTCAAGATCATTAGGCCTGGTAGAAAATATGATGGCTACAGTAATTTTGGATCACAAAGGCATGTTGCTCATAGACATGATGTAATAAGTAACAGCATTCAGTCTGGAAACTTGCTGTACAGCAATAATATTGTTGATTAATAAAAATATCTTGGACTTCTCCTGAAATGTATTCTGCTTCAGCCTCAAGTAATGCAACATCTATCCCACAAAATGTGTATGTTTCAAATTTGTCATTGTATCCAAACATAACCCCCTGCTACTGTTCATCACTTCCCAGCACCAGATCATAAAATTATAAACACATTTTGCTGAGGCATTTTACAATTTACACAAAAACTACTCTAACAAAATATGCATACTCACAAACTCCATAAAAAGACAAAGTTAATAGAAAGTCCGTCGAGTGTAACAATTTGTAGGTCACTTTTTATTATTATTTCTGCCTTACATGTTTCGGTTTGACACAACCATCATCAGAGGCACTTGCTATAATTATGGAAACACTGTCGCTGTTTTAGATGTTCACAATTATGTTTGTCGTGTGGACGCTGCTACGATATGTTGACGTGTAAAAGCACAAAATATGCTAAGATAGTTGAGTACACTCTCAAGTTCTCACTTTTCATCCGAACCTATTTTTAAGTTAAAATGCTAAAATGTTAAAATATTTGATATAAAATGCTGAACTCCTCCTTGTTAATTCATCCCGAAGACGGGAGACGTCAGCTTGAGGTTGTATGGCTTATGGTTTGATATGTTCCTGTGTGCTGTGTACTGCAGTACACAGTAACTTAAAAATAGGTTCGGATGAAAAGTGAGAACTTGAGAGTGTACTCAACTATCTTAGCATATTTTGTGCTTTTACACGTCAACATATCGTAGCAGCATCCACACGACAAACATAATTGTGAACATCTAAAACAGCGACAGTGTTTCCATAATTATAGCAAGTGCCTCTGATGATGGTTGTGTCAAACCGAAACATGTAAGGCAGAAATAATAATAAAAAGTGACCTACAAATTGTTACACTCGACAGACTTTCTATTAACTTTGTGATTGATAGTGTAACGGACCAAAATGAAACAATTCAAAATCCATAAAAAGAATTTCATTATTCTGCAACCAACCAACTACTGGATGAGAAATGAAGACCCTAGTAAACAGACACAGTATCTCATAATGTGTTATGAGGGATAAAGCACACCTGAGAGAGCAACTAACCACCTGAGATATGATACAGCTTTTTGAAAGCTCCATCATCTAAAAATTTTAGGACCGTATAATAAAAGATGTTGGCCCTCACACATCTGAAGTTCAAACTCTCATCATGATGGTCTCATATTTTTTGTAGTTTTTTACCTACCATTGATTGAAGGAAGGTGAAGGTAAAGTCATCCCTGTACTTAATTAAGCACTATGCCATGAAGACAGATGGGGGAAGGAATGCATAGACCTTGGAACTAGTTGAAGGTGAGTGGTCTGCTTCATACTCTGACCCCTTTAGCTGCAAGGAAAGAGCCCCTCATACCCACTGGCTATGAGGCTAGGAGGACCCACAAATGGTCTGGACGTGGACAGGAGAAAATCTTACTCCTATTAAGACCTGAACCCAGACCCCCCCCCCCTGGTCTGTAGTCAACTGTTATTATACTGATTGCCCTATTCCAGCTCCCTTATGAAGGCATGCTAAGAACTAGCTATGAATGACAGCCAACGGTGCACTTACATGCAGGACATCTCCTACAGCATATATGTGCTTCACATTAGTTTGTTCGTTTTCAGCAAAGATCTTGCCAGACTCTGGCACAGTTTTCACACCAGCAGACTCAACACACAGCTCTTTTGTAAGAGCTCTTCGACCAACCGCGAAGAGCACTGTATCAAATACGTCAGAGTGAGTACTCTGATCGGTAATATTAGTCCAAGATACCAGAAGTTTGCCATCATTCTTCTTTTCCACCGACAATGGAATGCACTTCATAAGGAAGTTAACACCTTTAGACATCATTTCATCTGTGATTATTCCTGCCATCTGCTGATCGAAACCTCGGAGGGGAACTGACCGAACCATCACTGTAGCATCATAACCAAGGCCATTTAAAAAGCCAGCACATTCCAGTCCAATATCTTTTAACAATTAAGGAAATAAATCAGCTTACACCAGAAGGAATTTTTTTGCATTATTTCTAACAGTACAATGCAAACCTCAACAAATTTCCTACAGATGCAAGTTTCAGATCTGTAATTATGGGCAGGAAAGGAAATAAAAATATTGTCATTTTGTGGTTATAAAATGCACTTTTTCCAAAGAATTTCACCACCATGACAAAACATATCTTCGAACTGTTGACTCTGCAAATCCAATAGTATTTATGAGGGCAGGATATATGATAAAATTAAATGAGCTCAAGCGCAAGTATAAAGCATAATGTATAATGTATGTGAAGGAAGCAGCTAACAATACTCCATCATTAAACACATACAGATTGTTTGCGATCTATTAAGTTTACTGGTTATTTCAGTCAAAATGTTTCATATTTTTTTCTGCAGACTAGTGATGACTTCTGAACATATAGGCTTCTATAGTTCCACCACTGGCTGAAACTGTAGTCATCTTAACAGAAAACAGAGAAGTTTGTTGCAAATTACATATACATTAAATATAAGTAAACAAAAACTTAGAACTATATTCCAGAAAACACTAATGCATAATGGTGACCTGGATTTGTGAGCCATGGTATGTGCAGAAAAGGTGTACAATACTGAAAATGAAATATTACTATTCTTTGAGATTTTTCTACAATTTAAAGAATTAACATAATAACTCTCTGGCACTAAACCTCAAAAAGATTTCAAACCACGTTAACCCACAACTGTACATAACCCAGAACCCTGCCAGCACCTTTCTTCCTATTAACCTACTTTCCAACTATTCTCCTCTGGCTTTAGTGAGGCTTTTCCCTGAAATTCTGCACACATGTTTCCACCATTCATGTGACACATTCAGATCATATACTTCTTGAGTTCACTATCCTGACAATGCTTTGTGAAGTGCACAAATTTTTCAATGTAACTCACTATGGAACTTCTTAAACTACCCATCTAACCTTATTCCTCACAGGGACAACGAGTTTTGTATGTTGTTCCCAAGCACATGGAACTTTAGTTCTTCCTTCAAAATGTATGGATCACATTTTATAGCCACGAACAATTGGCTGAATCACAAATTTTATGATCTGAAAGTAGAATGCATGGATGGTAAGAGATTTTGAAGAATAACCTACATCTGAATTTATTCTTCTCCTAATTTCATTATGGAACTCGTTTCTGTTGTTCCCATTTATTAAAATGCTGACACATTTTGAAATAAGTTATTACATACAGCTATATTATGGCACTGATGCAATTCCGGTTTCCTAATGTGATCATTTATATTGTGACATGTAGACCCATTGCTAGGGAACGATTCGGCAAACACATTCCCTTTGCAACAAATTCGCAGGCAACAATTGGATAACTTGCATTGCTATGCAATGGTGCTGTAAATACAACAACAGAGGACCTCCAGTGCTAGGCAATGGACATGTTTTCTATGGATCTGCCTTGAGACTATACAAGTAATACAGAACAGAATCAAATGAGAACAAGCAGGGATGTCACAAGGTTCTGTCCTCTCCCCCCACACTGTACAGTCTATATATAAATGATACACCGCAAACACCTGGTGTCAATCTAGGTCTCTTTGCTGATGACACCTGTATATATGCGAAAGACCGCAAAAAGGGTTATGTTCTCAGAAAGCTGCAGTGAGGTCTCAGTGATATTGATATGTAGTGTGAGCGCTGGAACATAAAAATTAATGAAAACTCAGGAAATCTACTTTTCTTGTAGACTTAGCCCCCCTGAGGCTCATCTTACACTGAATGGGCAGATTATCCCCTTTGTCAGTCATGTACAATATCTGGGTGTAATCTTCGATAAGAGCATGACGTGGAGACTTCACATAGAAATGATGAAGCCAAGGCCTTAAGAGCATTTATTAAAATCTACTCCCTATTCAAAAGTGAGCGTTTAAACGTAAACATTAAATAAAACCTCTATAAGGCACTGATCAGATCACTAGTGACTTACGTTTGTCCCACCTGGGAATTAGCGGCAGATACCTACCTCCTAAAATTGGAGCGTATGCAAAAGAAGGTTTTGCACACCACCGGAAATTTTCCAAGGCGCACACCAGTCTGTGACTTGCACACAGATTTCAACTTTCCATATGTATATGATTATATAACAAAATTGTGCAGGCGACAAGCACAAGCCATACAAAATCATGAGAATGAACATGTTAGCAGTATAGGACAAGGTGAAGCCGGACACAGAAAATATAAGAGGCTTAAACTTGGCGGTGGTCAAGCTTACAACCGTTCAAATGACTAAGTTGTCATTGTAGCATAAGATATGTAAGTTAAGCATGATCTGCTCTGGAAAACCTGTACTGACAGAGGATTTGTGTGCAGTGCAAAAGGGAGTATTTTTAATAACATGCTGTATGCGCAAAATATACACTTGACGAAAGGCCAAGCATATTCAGGAGAGACAAACCCACCTTCTCATCAGAGAGGATGTTACATAAAGACTACTACTGCGAAGTTCAGTTGGAAAAAAAAAATCCTTGGCCGTGGCCTCAAGGGGCCTGACACCAAGATGAACTGATTGGTAGAAAGCCACCAGTGGCCAAGGAAGAAGGGTTCAGCTGAAGATTTATTGCGAGTTATTTTAATCTATTGTGATTACAAATGATTGTAAAGGTGTCAATAAATCCGATCACCCAACCCAAAACCCATTATTATTAGCCGAGCAATAAACATGTGACAATATGCAGGTTTTACTAACATCAAAATCAACTTCTGTGCTAGCCTAAAAATAATCTGTGTTACTCCTTATGGATCTCCAATGCTTATTCAACTAACAAACATTGTAAGAAATTAATTCAGTCCACTAAAATCCTGGGAAGAGTGACATCAATAGTTAATATCCACTGCAATTTGGGCATTCTATGTACAAGTGTATAAAAGTGCTGTCTGCATCGGTTGCATGAACTCCACACTCTCTGCTTCTTGGTGTGGAAAGTATCTCAGTGTATTATGGCAAGTGTCTACTTAACATAGACAATGACTCATGTCTCCTTTGGTCAGTATTGTCACATGAACTACAGTAGGTACTGTGTTCTTCCATTCATTTACCCATATGAGATACTCTTTAAGACACATCAGCCTGCATCACTGATGAATATCTTTTCAATAATATTATGTGAATACCAGTACTTTCATGTGCATTTCTACCAAGTGGCGTTGCTCATGTACAGATCAATGGATTATATTAGAAGGTAGTCAAAAGGATACAGCCTGCACCAATAACCAATGTCCTCCCTGGGGAATTTTCCAGACTAAAAATATCATCACTTGTTATTCCATATTCAAGTGCTCCAGGAATGTCAGGGTATCTTGGTCTGCCTCCAACAGCAATCACAAAATGAGAAGCAGTCAGTGTATGTTCCTTTCCAGTCTTCACAACAACCTTCACAGTGTGTAGGTCTACAAACTGACCATGTCCATTATAATAATCAATTTTCCTAGAATATAATAAAAACATTAACTTTATATAAATATTTGATTTTTCTGCTTCAAATTCTTCCAGAACACCATTACAGAAAAATTGCATTATAATTCTTCAGAGAAGCAGTGTTTTCAAGAAACTACTCTCCTGGAGTGAGAGGGAAAGAACTTTAATTTACTACAAGTATTTACATTTACATTTATTTTCACTTCATGGATCCAATCATCTCTCTGTAGAGCTGGATATAATTTGGCTTTAGGAAAAATTTCCCAACAGACCATGCTGCTTTTTCTTTTATGACTGGCATACTTCAGGCCTGGAGTGACAGACTGCAAACTGCAGGGATTTTTTGTGACCTTGCTAAGGCTTTTGACTGTGTTAATTATGAGATATTGACATCTAAACTAGAGTATTATGGTGTCCGGGGGTGTATATTAACACTTTGCTGACCGGCGATTTAAATATTTAAATCACCCTGGGGACTGGCATTTTTATGCCTACTACCTTAACTTGTGCACTGTTCACTTTAAAAATTAATATAAAATCTCCTAATTAATTTTATGAACTAAAATTTTTGGAGAACACTTACCAATGCTCCTAGAAGTGCTTGAGGGTGTGATATTTCTGGAAACATTCCCCTTTGTGAAGTGGCATTACAGATAACTTGCAAATGTAGACAGTCATAGTCCTTTTTTGTGAACTGCACAAACACGGCATTGCCTAGAAGGATGCTTCCCCTTGGAATGTTCACTTTTCACAATTTTCATGAGGGTATGTTTCCACATATCACCCCAGAGTCGCCCAGGGGTGTCCACATGAGGCCTGCATGGGGTGGGAGTAGACGGGCCCAGTCGCACTAAGACTGTGTCTGCCGCCACCGTGTGGTCTGTAGCCCAGGCTTTTGCCACATTCAGCAGAAATGCCTTATATTTCAATTTTGAATGAGGGTTTAGATTTTTGAAAACCAAAAATGAATTGAAAATGGCACAATTTACAAGCCACAAGGAACTTTCTTTGTCCACTTTACTGTTTTCCAAGGAAGAGAATAATAGGGCAAGTATTGATCGGCTCTATCAACTCCCTTCATGAACATATTATACTCGGAAATACAAACAGCCTTTTTTACCCGTCCATGTCTCCTTTGAACATCAACAATGCTCAAATTTTGAATTGTGGAAATCATATTCACAACACGAGTATCCCTCCAGGACTGAAGAAGAATATCCCCCTTCCTCCTGAATGTGGTTTCACCACATTTCAGGGATTTACATTCCTCCTTCAGATCTGGAGGAAGGCCTCTGTTCACCCTAATTGTTCCACAAACACGTACTTTTCTTGAAAGTAGGTGTTCTGCAGTTGCCACACTGTTATAATAACTGTCTTGATAGACATGGTAATTTTGATCAAGATAGGGTTCCAAAACGGAAAGAGTAGTGTCTTGTAATGTCTTTCCTTCACCAGAATAAAATTCTAAATTTCCAATATAGCCTGAAGTGCTTTCAGTAACTACAAGAACAAGTACGCCATACTTCGTAAGTTTCCCAGAATTATATGTTCACATATTGCACTACTCACTGACAGCTTGCTATGTACAGCTTGAAGAAATATAGGCATTTATTTTCCTTTGCAGGGCATACAGTTACAGCGAGGTCACATAACTGATTAGTCAGCAAACATTCCAGAGGCTTATCACGCAGCTGCAGGCAGCTCGTGCAAGCTGGGAGGTGTCAGAGAGATGTATAGCGTGTTGCAACTTATCGTGTTCTAAAAACGTATTAATATATGACCGGTCCGCCACGTTTAAAAGCAAAAAACGTATTAATGCGTGCGCGGTCTGCAAAGTGTTAAACTGGTTCAAATCATATCTATTGGATAGAAAACAGAGAGTGTACATTAAAACTAATGATGGTCAGGACTAGTTTTCATCTTGGGAAAGTTAAGCAAAGGGTTCCTCAGGGGTCGGTTTTGGGACCACTTCTATTTATTATTTACATTAACCTTTAAGAAACGGGCCATTTAAATTCCCGTAATGGCAGCAGGCCAGAGTTAATTTAAATGTCCGCCATTATAGAGTAATAAAAATTGTAAGCATGTTACTGAAAATGCTGTGATTTCTACAATTTTTGTGATAAACGAACGAAATAAACAGTGCTTTTATCTAGAAAAAATACAAAATCAGATACTGTAATTTACAGATTTTAGAATCTGTAAAAATTGTTACATTGATTCCAAAATTTTTTTTTCCCAATTTTGAGCGTCTGTCCACAAATATGCAGTCAGTTTCTGCGCAAAACATTTCTGCAGTATAAATGCATGCTGTTGACACACTGTCTTACACTGTCTTATCTGGCAAGAGGAGAGGAGGTTTATGTTTATACTGCATATTCTCCAGTCAGAACCTTTCTGTATACACGAGTGTGGGCAAAGTCTTATCGTAATTTGTCCTTATGAAACTCTGCCTGTTTATATCTTGGACTAAACACACAGAGGTACTGTTCTTGGAATATCCCTGCAATGCCCCCTTGCTTCCCCGACCCTTCAGAATCCTCTGTACCGCATTCTGAATGGTGTGATTTATGAGCGGCCTCTCAATTTCGGCTTCTTCCATGCGAAATGGGGCCATGGTGCATAGTTGAAATTGCGATGTTTTATAAGCGTTACGTTTAGAGGACATCACTGGCCGACTTCCTGTAATACGAGAGTGAGGTGTCGCGTGTGCTCTTCGCGTGGGAAATGGAGTTACATATGGACAAAATGCATGAATTGCAGTGTCGGACTCTGCATTCAGTTAGATGATGCAGGGGGGAAGACAGTCTACTTATAAAGCGGGTGCCCAAAAATAATGTAAGTAGAAGAAGAATTTCTATCTTAAAAGTAGATTTTAAAACACTGTGCACACATGTGGACTGCACATACCCATACGGTGTCGCACAGTCACTCGGCTATACTTTAAAGGTCCCCATATGGTGTTGCTAGGCTCTTAAAGGTTAATGATTTGCCTCCATATATTAATAAACTGGTCATTTTTTTTCTTTTTGCTGATGATACCAGGATTTTGGTTACCAGTAATAATCATGTTGAGCTTAAGCATAACGTCATGGGTACACTGTCTCTTATTGTAAATTGGTTCACAGCTAATAAGTTGGCCTTAAATATCACTAAAACTAATATTATTAGATTTGCTCTAAAACAGTCCTATAACTGTCTGGCAGTTGCTAGCAGGAATGTTTTATGAAGGAAGTTCCTGTGATAAAATTTTTGGGTCTGCAAATTGATAAGAATTTGGATTGGAAGAGTCATGTAGAGTATATTCTCCCTAAACTTAGTTCAGCTATTTTTGTAATTATGAGTTTATCTTATTTTATGAGTAAAATATTTTTACAACTGGTGTATTTTTCTTATTTCCACTCTATTCTTAAGTATGGAATAATTTTCTGGGGCAACTCAACGAATAATGTTAAGAGTTTTTAAATTACAAAAAAAAAAAGGAATAAGGATTATATCTGGAGTGGGACCTAGAGACTCATGTAGGGATCTTTTTAAGAAATTGAATATACTGCCATTGTCATGTGAATACATTCTCGTTGATGATGTTTGTGATTGATAATCAAATTAAATTTTGTTCAGGTTTAGATGTTCATGGTTTGAATACAAGAAATCAAAAGCAATTATATTTGCCAAACTCAAATCTTTCTGCTTTTCAGAAAGGTACTATGTTTACTGCTATTAAACTATTCAACAGATTGCCCATAACCATTCAGAGACTTAAAGAGGATAGAATTAGTTTTAAAAATAAGCTGTCTTTATATCTTGTGAATAATTCCTTTTATACAGTTTCTGAATATGTGGAGCATAACATAAACAATTAGTTTTAATTATTCTGTTATCTGTGTGTTTGATTAAATTTCTTGTATTTGTTTTTTTGATATGCTGACCTTCATGTCCATTTGGTTTGGACTTGTAAAATGAAATGTACGTATGTCACACATTACAAATTCATGACGACTACACATCACACATCCTTGGTCAAATAAAATATATAATCAGGCTCACACAGACAGCACAAGTTGTCAAGACAACACACCTAGCCGTGGAAAAACCACTGTCAAATTCACACCCTGCCATTCTACACACACTGGCAAGCCATATCATACAAACAGTTTCATTATAACATATTAAAATTCATAACAAAAAACAGAAGTCTCAACAACGTATAATACAAGCAAACAGACCATTTATTAACTAATTTTGTAAAACAAACCTAAATTGATTTTTATCATTTTTTAAAACTGAGATAGTTCACAGCAGAGTGTTAAATAGCTTGATGCCTGAATAATACACCCCTCTCTGATAGGATGATAAATATGCTGAAGGCATATGGTGGTCATTCCTTCTTGTACTAATCACATATACAGAGCTATTGGTTTGAAACTTGATCCAAATTATTGACAGCAAATATCATCAATGAGAGCAAATATACACATGGCATTGGCAGTATGTCAAGCTTTTTAAATAGATGTAAGAGTTGGGCCCACTCCCATCATTATTCTTATTATTTTCTTTTGTATAACAAAGACCGTATGACTCTCTGATGTATTTCCCCAGTATATTATTCCATATTTCACCAATGAATGATAATATGCATAATATACAGCTTTAAGATTATTAATATTTAATATATAAGATAATTTTCGCATTAGAAAACCAACTGTACTCAACTTATGAAGCAAAAAATCGATATGTCCCTTACAAGTCAGATGATTGTCCAGCTGCAAACCGAGAAATTTTATCGTTTCTACTTCTTTCAGCTTTTTGTTAAAAAACAATGTATATAGAAAGTAGCTCGTAGCTGCTGTTGGGGTGAATTTTATCATTTTTGTTTTATCCAGATTTAACACAAATTGATTATTTTGAAACCAAGTAAACACATGATTAAAAACAACATCCAATTTTATTTTTAAATTATAGTAGTCTTTAGTTGTGCAAAGAATACTTGTGTCATCTGCAAACATAATAACTTCAGAAATTTTACTTATTTCAAGGGGGAAATCATTTATGTATATAAACAGTAAGGGTCCCAATATTACACATGTATCCAGACGCAAATCATATTAGCATTGATATTCTTAACTTCTACATAACTGCAAAAGGCTAACTTATTTCCTTATGGCAGTTACATGTGGACAAATAAACTTTCTTAATTCAGTGACTTGAAAATGTTTTTGTTTCAATACATATTCCCACTTTTTTCACTGTAAAAATAACAGGGCATGTATTATTTTATTACCACTCTCGCACATGTAACATTTGCCAATGGACATGAGTTTTTACAAAACATTTATAATCTGAGTTTACTGTGGGCAGTAAATGAAGAAGCATACCTATTATGTAACATACTTATCTCTCAACTGCACTCTTGTTACCCAGTTGACAGATTTGATATGATTCTGGACGGCTTCCCTCAAAACTTGCCAGTCATGCTTAATTGCATTTGCTTCTGGGAGTACCCAACCATATGCTTTTGAATCCTAAACAGAAAAAGAGAATGCACATACACAAGTGAAGTTTAATATGAAATCTGCATGCAATTTTCACATTATATAAGAAGAGAAAACACATAAATATGCTGAGTTAACAGCCTTTGCTATACTCCATTAGAACTTTGTTGTTTTTGCAGTTAATAATGTAATATAATTACCAGTTTTCAAAACAAAGGCATAGAAAGTTCAGGCAACAAAATGAATCAATACACTTTGAACATTCAGGGTGGGATTTCAGTTGGGGTGGGGGTGTTTGGGAATTCCTTTCTCCATCATGTTCAGAACAATTCTCAGGCATACTGTGCTCCTTGTAAGTGCAAACTCTCTCTCCAGGAGATAAAGCAACCACAGCCTGAAACTGACCATCATCTCCACCTACAGAACCCAGAAACGAGTGCAGCTTTACATCTACTAATGAAAAACAACAGTAAATATGTCAGTACAAACATTCTTAAGGAAAACATTACCTAATAACCACCCACAATATAACAACTTAAAACAAAAGCAGAACAAATGGTTGCTTGCAGCAGTGACTGACATGGTCATATATAACTCTTGATTTACTGTAATACTCTTTATTTATTTATTTATTTCATATCATATCCATGGATCATTGTACATGATATAGGACAAGTCAAATACTTTACAATACAATAAGTAATAATAATAATAGTAATAATAATAATAATACAATATATAACACAATGATATAATAGTATACAAAGATAATAAAATTATGATTCGAATGATATATATCCTAGGTGGTTATGGTTATGGAGAGTTTGATGGAATTCTCTTGATGAATTCATCAGGTTGGCTTGCATTTCAATTTATGTATTGCACCTAATTTGATTATTTATCTGGTTTGATAGTGTGTTATATTTTAATTACAGGTTAACCATGTCAAGTGTGATTATATATTGTTGACAAATTCTAATCCTTTAGGCATTTGAGCAAAAGGATTTCAAGAATGATGTATTTAATGATGTGACTTTTCAATTGTTACTGTTGTATCAGTTATTAATGAAATGAAACACTGTTCTGCACTATATAATATACAGATTTTCCAAATATGTTCTGTGCAATTTTACACACCTCAGCAGCCCTGATGTTTAATTAGTACTCTTGTAAATCTTACAGTGGAGCGATTAAAACTTATCTCTCAATTGTTGTGGAACAAGATGTTACACTGCTTATTAATTTTTTTAAATGTTGTCTTTGCAATGTGATTTTGGTGATTACTAAATACTGCAATATGCATGATTTCACCTTTAAATAATTCTGAGTGGAGAGAGAATCACAATTACATTGTACATATAGAGATAAAATTCTAGCTGACAGAGGTACTATATTAGACAATTTCTTTGCTCCCACCCCACAATACCAACAGCTTTATTCTGCACCGAAGCTGATATCACACAGTGCAGCTGTCTGGGTAGCCTAAGGGATGTGATGTTGTGGTGGGTGGGGAAGACATTGTAGTGAACTGCTGTAAGGCAATTCCAACCCCAGAAGACTCTTCTAAGGGACAATTTCCACATCCTGGTTTTTTAACTTGTAGGGATATATACGGAAAATAAATGGACAATGGACAATGAACAATAAAGCCATAAATGGAAAACCCATGTGACAGGGAAGGGAGGATACTGCAAGGTGATGCAACAGTGAGAGAAGGATAGTAAACCATGCATCCACAAAATATAATTTAACTGAAAATTACTGATATAAAAACAACAAAATAAAGTCACTAGCATTACTTACAATGATCGCCTCTCCTAAGAGAGATGCCTGGTGCATAAGTTTCTTGGGAATACATCCCACATTCACACATGTTCCACCCAATCCCCAAACTGAACCCCGTGGAGATGGTGTTACATAGTCAAGGACTGCTACTTTTGCTCCTAGTTGTACAGCCTCTTTAGCACAGGCTAATCCTCCGGAACCACCACCAATAACAATAAGGTCGTACTGACCATGACCTATTGGTACAACAGCAAAATAATTACATATGAATCGACACCAACACATTTCATACACACTGCATGAAGAAAATAACCTAACTCGGAGAATTACACAAATAAAAAACCTACATGAGGAAGAATATCTTGCAGGTCTGCTGTTTACACCATTGTTCAGGTAAATACGTTTACTACTCGAATATGAATTTAATTCTAATGAATGCGTCCGAGCTATAACAACCCTACACAACCACTTCGCAACCGCCATACTTAACTTGACAACGTTCAATTTCACTCCACAGAAATTAGCCCTAGAATTATGATCATCAACGCTAATCTCAGGACAGTTGTGACCGTTGTGACTACGAGAATTGACGAGAAAACCAGTTGTTCATTAATAACTAAGTAATTTTGGAATGAAATCTATTCTAATAACAGGTTGCAATCGTGGCATTGGACTCGGCCTGGTGAAGTATTTAACAGAGCAAGCAATTTCGCCGCCGTATTTGTTTGCAACATGCAGAAATCCCGCTAAAGCTGAGGTATGTTTCGTCCACCTAACTTCGTACTTACTCGGAAGAACAGGAGGCATTCTATAGCTCACTAGATGCAAATGAAAGTCCAACACACACTTCACAGAAGTACAGGCACAATAACTATACAGTTTTGGAGTTCTTTTTTTGTACACTTCTTGCAGCAGATTGTCCTTGCGCAATAAAATCTTAGCTTACGTGATTCCGCCCCGTCACTGATGGTATGTCGTTAAAGGGTTAAAGAGGGGGGAGGGAAAAACTCTGTTGGCATTTGTGGGAACTATTCTCTTGGCGGGTCGAGTAAGATTTCAAAATTTGGGTTCATTTTGAATAAGATAAATAGCAGTCCCACTCAAGTGTGAAGAATAAGTGAACAGTAATATAATAATTGTAGGATATCGATAATATTTTTTTTTGCATGAATATGCCCTTTTCATTTACTTTTAAAATAAAATGTATATAAATGGCAGAAACCAGTCAGTAGAACAACATCCACGAAACTCAGAAGCTCCTTTACCCTGATTTTTGTTTCTTACACTGTAGCTAGCCTTTGTTTCATACATGCTGAGCAGGGTAGTTAGGCATCCAGTATATATGGGTCATCCTCATATTACAGTGATTTTGCCCCAAATTTCTGTCAAGACATATAAATGTCCCATCATTTAGTTTCCTCAGTTAATTGATTTGAAAAGTTATCCAGATTTGCCACTGTAGCTAGCCAGTGATAGTTGTTTCATTCAGCTAAGTTAGAGGGAATGGAAAGTGAATGCAGAATTTTGATTGGTCCACTTGCTGGAAAGCAGCAACATGGAAGATGAAGGAGATGACAGAATAATATTACACAGAATCTTATTGAAATTTTTTTATAAGGATGTAGATTTTGTAAGTGACTCAGGAGTTCAATTATTACATTCAGTAGTTGGCCTTGGTGTATCAATGTTGTTGAATCTTCACATTCTTTTACCAGTGTTCAGTTAGTTGGTCCATCTTGCCCATAATAATATGGCCATATTTTGTATCCAAGACTTTTTGTGGCACATAAGGCTGACAGCCTCACTGCCATCTGTGAGCTGATTGCCTGGAATATGTAGGAACCTCAATGTTTCAAAACTCTATGGGCCTCCATGCCCTGTTACAGGGATAAGTGTAAAGTAAAAAGAAAAGCTATCCCTGTAACAGGCTGTGAAGGCCCATAGGGTTGTGAGACATTAAGGGTCCCACATTACCTTGACAATCGGCTCAGAGATGGCGGTAAGGTTGTCAGCCTTACGCGCTGGCCGCGCTCACTCTCCAGGAAAATCATTTAATTAATTCCTGGTACTCATTTATGTTAGAGGCTGAGTAAACCCCAGGGCCTAGTGTGGCCGGAAGGATTAGGTCATTTGAAAAAATCCAATGACCTCATCGGGACTTGAACCCATTAAAGTATAATCACAGAATTATATAAGTATTTAGATGAATAAATTCTATATCTTTATATCTGTATAATAAACCTACTTTTGTTTTGTGTTCATAAACATATGTTGTATCCTGAAATATCACTCATTTCTTTCAGTTATGTTGAAGATGGCAGAATTCCAATACATTACACCACTACATATACATGTACCACCACTACATATACCAATACATGAGATACAGGTCATGTGAAGCTAACTAATTAAATCCCAGTTATTTTTAAGTACCTGGAAATAAAAACAATTATAGCTTTCTACTTATGTGATAAAAATTTCAGGCCCTTCAGGAGATTGCTGAGAAACACAAAAATGTCCATATATTGCAGCTAGGTGAGTACACCACAACCAGAAATCATATTGCCAGTAATTCAAGTAGAGCTGCTTTTTGGTTTTGTTTTCTTATGTTTGTGGTGGAAGTTTTGCCAGTGTTCATGCATGCAGTCTTGCATGTGTGTGTAGAGGGGGGGGGGGAGCAGTGAAAAGAGAGTGTCACATACAATTCTAAGAAATCAAGTATTCAAGTATTCCATCTGACAATAATGCTCGTCAAGAATGACATCCAGCTTGTGCTCCTTAACTGAATCCCATTCCTCCATGTGAGCCACGTTAGTTTTGTCCAAAGAATTTTACTTTTCCAGCATTGATCTTACATAAGCAGTGTTCTTATATTTTTAGGAAACTTTTTCCATTCCTTCTCTCTTGTGACTGTTCTCCATTCTGTATTGTGCACCTTGCAATGAGGTGAGGTCCAGCTGTCTTTTAATAATTATTATCAGCTAAGCAGCTGTTATAAGCAACTACTTCACTATCATGGCTGCCACCAGGGTTCTTTCCAAGGGTGGGCAGCTAGAAAATTTACTTAGAAATTAACGTTTAAGCAGAGTTCTATCTTCTGGGATATAACACTGTGTAGTCCATTGAAAATCAATTGATGTTTTAGAGGAACATGTTGCCATCCATGTTTTTCTGAAATGTTGTTGATTTTCCACAGAATACACAACTTTGAATCCCAGAAGATAGAACAATTCATATGTCCTATGTCGATGTTCACTGAGACAACCACTTGAAGCTATAACAACAAATGTTCGTTGTGTTTAGGACGCATTTTACAAACTAGCGGGAGCTTGTCTGGAGAATACTGGTCGAGACTCCTTTCATGGCGGCTGGTCTGGTCCGGTGATTACAATGTCGAGTGCAGGCCCTGAAAAGGGCAGTTTGTCAAGCAGTGTCTTCTTGTAGCAGCCCAATGTCCTTCTTCAGCTGCAGCAGTGAGTCTGGCTGGCTGGCTGGTGATGTTGCGGTGCATGCGCCAGTAGAATCAGCTGCCTATGGTGCTTGTATTGGCAATGTCCGCTGTCTCCTGGAGAGTTGTGGCCAGCTGCGATTTCTTGATGTCAGCATAGCTATGATGGCAGTGACTGACAAAAGACTGATGCTGGTGTCAAAGTCAAATTTAAAGTTATGTTGCAACTGACGGTCAGTCAGTCTGTCTATGTAGGTGTCGAGCCCCAGCCAGATGTTTCTTTTTATGTGAAAGTTACTGTACTGTCCATGTGGGGCGCTCTCTCTGACGAGAAGTCGGGTCTGTCATTTGTCAGTCATAGTCTGTATCAGTAAGTCATTGTCAGTATTTACATATACATTTAGAATTTACTCTTAATTCCTACTTCTATGTACAGTATATACAAGGCCTCTTGTCAGTCCAGGCTCAGTACAGAAGATTAAGCCCTACTTCTGGTAGTAATCGCTACCATGGCAGTCTAGTCGCTTGAATGGTCATATGCCTGACTGCCACCAAGTTTAAGCCTCTTATACTTTCTGTGTTGGGCTTCGCCTTGTCCAATGTTGAGAACATTCTGATTATCATCATTTTATATGACTTCTGCTTGTTACCTGCATAATTTTGTTATATGGTCATATACGTAAGGGATTTTGAATGCCACGTGCAAATCACGGACCAGTGTGCGCCTTGAAAATTTGCCAGTGGTGTGGAGAACCTTGTTTTGCAGGTGCTACAATTTCACTAGATGGGTGTCTGCCACAAACTCCCAGGCGGGACTAACATAAGTCATTACGGATATAATAAGAGCTTTGTAGATGTTCAGTTTAATGTTAGCGCTTAATTGCTCAGTTTTGAATAGGGAATATACTCTAATGAATGTTCGAAAGGCATTGGCTTCAATCATTTCTATGTGCAATCTCCATGTAACTCTTTTATCGAAGATTACACCTAGATATTTTGCACTATTTACAAATGGAATATTTCATCCATTTAGGGTAAGACAAAACTCAGGCGGTCGACGGCTACAAGAGAAGTAGACCCCCTGAGTCTTATCTTCATTAATTTTAATATTCCAGCACTCACACCAGGTCTCCATTGAGCTGAGACCGCGCTGGAGTTTCCTAACAACAAAACCCTCCTTGCGATCTGTCGCATACAGACAGTTGTCATCCGCAAAGAGGGCCAGGTGAACACCATGTGTTTGGGGGGGGCATCATTAATATACAATTTGAAAAGAGTAGGGGACAGAGCCGACCCTTTTGGCACCCCTGCTTGCATTTCCCTTCGCATTGACATTTTGCCTTCAACCGAAACCCTGAATTTACATTGAGAGAGAAAGGACCCAATAAGTTTGGTCGAGCTGTTCAAGAATTCCAATTTTGATAACTTATACAGCAAGCCTGAGTGCCATGTGGTATCAAAGGCTTTTTCGATGTCCAAGAACACCGCAGCCGTAGACATTTTATTGTTGAAATCAAGGGTCACATGGTCCACCAGCCTCATACATTGCAGTGTTGTGCTGTGATGTGCACGAAAACCAAACTAGCTTGCGTTGAGCAGGCCTCTTTCTTCAGTATGTTTTTGAAGGAATTTCAAAGTCACTTTCTTGAATAGTTTTCCTGTCATGGACAGGAGGTTGATCGGATGTAAATTTTGCTGGAATTTTGGATCCTTACCGGGTTCAGGTAAAGTTATCACTTTTACTCCTTCCAAGTATTTGGAAAATGAGAGAACTGAAGACAGTGATTAAATAAATATGATAGGTGAACCAATGGTCATCTTGGAAGGTGCCTGAGGCACTCATTTGGGATGCCATCAATTCGACAGACCTTTTTTTAATTTCAGGGATCTTATTAATTTCTGTACATTACATGGTCTGATCCTTTGATGGGGGTTGTCATCTACGGTTTCACAGAGCTTGAACTCTGGCCTCCACCTGCTGTTCATGGTTTTCATCGCACAAGGTCATGCGGTGTGAACTGAATTTCCAAACGGTCAGCAATTTCATTGGCTTTTTCGAAAGGATGAAATTTAAGGCCAGAAGCACCATGAATAGCAGTAGGTGCCCTTGGTCCATTCCTCTTTAAGAGGGATTTCACAATGGGCCATACACCCTGAGGTGTGAGTGGCGCATGGACCACCTGGCGATGAAGCTTCGATTATGAGCGCTGACTGGATATCACTTGCGTTGGTGTCTAGGGAACCAGGCTGCAAGCAATGTATAAATATTGCTGCAATTGTGAGCACAGATTGGATAGCGCTTGTGTTGGTGTCCAGAGGGCCAGGCTGCAAGCGATGTATAAATATTGCCTGTTTTTGGTGCACTGTGGGTGGTTCCCACACATAACTAGCACTAATAACCTCAAATCCCATATAATGAGCAGTTTAAGAATATTTTTATGGCTCACCCTAGATTTGTATAGCCATATATTGGAACACAGATGGTGCAACATTTAGATATAGTTTACATTTTCAATATTAATATTTGGTATATTTT